CCAAGCGCATATATGAGCGAAAGCTAACGGGAGAGAGAGAGAGGGGGGGAGAAGGGGGGGGGGGGGGGGTTCGGCGGTCGGTGGGAATGACAGGCGTGCTACTGTGGGGGGAGGGGGGAAGGGGGGGGGACCTTCACCTTCGCCAATGGCGGCTATAATCAGCCAAGGGAAATTACTTGTCATTTTTTGATTGATTGATAAAGATTAAGCCACCCAAGAGGTGGCACGGGCATGAATAGCCCGTAATGTGTCATTCTCTCCTCTCAAAGTCCCTATATATGTTCCCGTAGAGAGGAACGTTATCTAGGAGAGAAAACACACAACACACACACACACACAATCAGGGGGCAGTGGCTGAGTGGACAGCACGCTGGTCACGTAATCTTGTGGCCCGGGTTCGATTCCCAGACCAGGCAGAAACAAATGGTCAAAGTTTCTTTCACCCTGATGCCCCCTGTTATCTAGCAGTAAATAGGTACCTGGGAGTTAGACAGCTGTTACGGAGCTGCTTCCTGTGTGTGTGAAAAAAATATATTAGTTGTTAGTAACAGTTGATTGATTGACAGTTGAGAGGCGGGCCGAAAGAGCAAAGCTCAACACACACACACACACACACACACACACACACACACACACACATAAAACGAATTGACAGGGTGGACAAAGAGAAACCATTTAGCACGGGTGGAACACGAACAAGGGGACGCAGGTGGGAACTGAGTACTTAAATAAGTCACAGAGACATTAGAAATAACTTTTTCAGTGTCAGACAGGACGCCCAGAGACAATTTAAGATGTTACACGACCAAAGACCACATTCACTCCAAACATCTACCACCACCTACGGGTTACTCATGCCCGTGCCACCTCTTGTAGTGGCTTAATCTTCATCAATCATCAATGCCAATTGATGATCTGTCATCATCAATCAAATATGGAAGACGGCGAATGTGGTCCCAATATACAAATGGGCGACAGACAAGAGGCACTGAACTACAGGCCAGTGTCCTTAACTTGTATACCATGCAAGGTGATGGAGAAGATTGTGAGAAATAACCTAGTAACACATCTGGAGAGAAGGGACTTCGTGACAATCAGTGTCAGAGTAGTTAACAGGTATAATACATTAGGCAGTGATGTGGTGGAGGCTGACTCCATACACAGTTTCAAATGTAGATATATGATAGAGCCCAGTAGGCTCAGGAACCTGTACACCAGTTGATTGACGGTTGAGAGCTTAGACCAAAGAACTAAAGCTCAACCCTCGCAATCACAACTAGGTGAGTACAGTCCTCTGCCAACTCGAAAAAATAGGCTGATTTATGGGGAAAATGACAAAAAATGTGTCTGAAGGAGTACCTATCAGTAAGAAGACAAAGAGTCATAGTAAGAGGAGATGTTTCAGATTTAGCTACTCAGAACGAAGTGTCCATGTAGCACGGTCTATGGTGAACCCGTAATAAGAGGAGAGTTCTCAGAATAAAGGGAGGGTAAGGAGTGGATTCCTTTTGAAGTGAGGGGATTAATTCGTTAATTCCCCCCGCCTCTCATTAATCTAATCGCCGAAGCTATGTGTATGTCTGAAAGTCTATCCCCAATGATAGGATCTCCATCCTCATCATCTGGGGCCAGATTCACGAAGCAGTTACGCAAGCACTTACGAACCTGTACATCTTTTCTCAATCTTTGGCGGCTTTGTTTACAATTATTAAACAGTTAATGAGCTCCGAAGCACCGGGAGGCTGTTTATAACAATAACAACAGTTGATTGGCAAGTTTTCATGCTTGTAAACTTTTTATAAATGTAACCAAAGCCGTCAAATATTGAGGAAAGATTTACACGTTCGGACGGGAGACATCTCCCGTCACGCAGGGTGCAGTCGCACCTCCACAGATCTCCAGTATCAGCTCTTGATACTGGTAATGGTTCAAAAGGGCCACCACTTACGGGTTATTCATGCCCGTGCCACTTCTTGGGTGGCTTAATCTTCATCAATCAGAGCCACACATCAGCAGGATAACGAGGGGCAGGATACGTCATACTGGCAAATCTCCGGTTATCCTTCACCAACCCTTCTGAGCTCTGTATTTGTGAGCTCATCCTTTGTGAGATAAATTTTTGAGTATGCTGCCCAAGCAAGGAACCCCTATTGACCATGTCGTAGCTCAGTCGATTAAGGCAGCGTCTGGGATGCTCTCGGACGCAGGTTCGAATCCTCGTCACGGCCCTTGTGGATTGGTTCAATGGAACCCCTACTTTAAGCATCACAAAGCAAAACTAGAAAAAAAAGTAAAAAAATATGCAACAAAGCTCGTTCCTGAGTTATGAACCAAGACTGAAAGAACTGGACCTGACTACACTGGAGGAAAGACGAAATAAAGAGGACATGATAACGACACACAAGATACTAAGAGGGACTGACAAAGTAGCCAGATACGCCACAGGGTGTGTCAGAAAGAACTTGTTCAGTATGAGTCGTAAATAAGTGGAACGAACTAGATGAAGAAGTTGTCGAAGCCAATTCAATCCCCAACATTATATGTAAACATGATAAGGAAAACGAATAAAAAAAGAGTCACTGCATTGAACTAGTGGTGGTCGAAAGGCGGGGCTTAAGAGCAGATACTCGACCCTGCATCCTCAACCAGATGAGTACAACTAGGTGAGCGCGCGCACACACACACACACACACACACACACACACACACACACACACACACACACACACACACACACACACACACACACACACACAGATGCCTCAAATGACGGCCAGAACCGCACAAAGGCACATAGAGGCGACTGTACAAGGGGAACCACACACACACACACACACACACACACACACACACACACACACACACACACACACACACACACACACACACACACACACACACACACACATCATCCGGAGTTCCTGGCGCTCCTTACGTAGCAGCCACAGCCAATCTCTCTCACACACACACACACCTTTCTACCGTAACCGAGCAGCAGCCGGTGTGGCTACACCACTTGTGGATGGATAGCTATCAGCGAGAAAAAGGTTTATAAAGGACTTTCTTTTTTCTAAAGGCCATGAAAGCCTATGTCTTTCTATGAAAGACATAGGCTTTCATGGGCTCATGAACGGGTAAAATATTTTCCATGAACATTTAGGAAAATATTAATAGGGTCTTCTCAGAATGCTTATTGCTTCTCTCTGTCTCTACCACTTATAGAAGGGCGTTGAAGCAAGGACTCATCACACGTGAAGAACAGCTAAATCTCCCATAGCAAAAAATACAACAAGAGCCCATATTACACTTGCATAAGCAAGTATTACATTTGACTAAGTACATTATACTCTAATACAAGAGAACTATAACATTTACGACGGGAATCTGTTTCCCTACATCGATTAGAAACCAATTATATCTGCACTGACTCCTCGTTAACAATCAGTTAAGGTCTCCGTACACCATGAAGCTTTTCAATCACCAAGACGGCCGCTGCCCGGCCCAAGAGCTATCGTCTCGGTTGGTTTGACGTCACAAATACCTCTGTGACGTGTGCACTCGCACATAACAACAATGGCAGTGTGTGCAAGGGAAGGAACCCCCATAATGGGAGTGAGAGAGAAGAGCCCCATGACAGAGCTGAGAGAGGACCGTGAACATCACTCCACAGGTGGGTGGGTAAGATAGGGAAACCAATTACTGGGCGCTAGAACCCCCACCCAAAGGCAGAAAATGGCGTCGCTGGCTATTGCATGCGACGCCATTCAAGGGTGGGCGTCGCATGCATCCATTTCTAGGGTGGGCGCTAGAGCCTCCACCCAAAGGCAGAGAATGGCGTCGCTGCCTATTGCATGGAGGCGGCTGCAGTGAATAATGAAGATAATCCAAGTGTGTAGTGTCACGCCACGATGGGGAGACTAGGGACGGTAAGTGTTGGAGGTGGAGGCCCGCGGGGAGGGACAGGACACTAAGGTCACTAGTTGCGACGTATACTAACACTGTGTGTGTGTGTGTGTGTGTACCCCTATGGAGTAGGAGAATGGGGGCCACGCAGGACCAGCCTTGTGTATATTATGGGGGTAAGTATGTCCATTAAGGCTACGGGAGACATCTCCCGTCACGCAGGGTGCAGTCGCGCCTCCACAGATCTCCAGTATCAGCTCTTGATACTGGTAATGGCTCAAAAGGGCCACCACTTACGGGCTATTCATGCCCGTGCCACCTTTTGGGTGGCTTAATCTTTATCAATCAATCAATCGTCCATCAAGACACCAGATTGAGGAAACCAGGGTGAAGGTAAGGACAGTAGGCTGAAGATGAGAACAATAGAGTGATGGTTGAGAACAATATAGTAAGTGGTGTGAACACTATAGTGAGTGGTGTGAACACTATAGTGAGTGGTGTGAACAATATAGTGAGTGGTGTGAACACTATAGTGAGTGGTGTGAACACTATAGTGAGTGGTGAGAACACTATAGTGAGTGGTGTGAACAATATAGTGAGTGGTGTGAACAATATAGTGAGTGGTGAGAACAATATAGTGAGTGGTGTGAACACTATAGTGAGTGGTGTGAACAATATAGTGAGTGGTGAGAACAATATAGTGAGGGGTGTGAACAATATAGTGAGTGGTGTGAACACTATAGTGAGTGGTGTGAACACTATAGTGAGTGGTGAGAACAATATAGTGAGTGGTGTGAACAATATAGTGAGTGGTGTGAACAATATAGTGAGTGGTGTGAACAATATAGTGAGTGGTGTGAACAATATAGTGAGTACTGAGAACAATATAGTGAGTGGTGTGAACAATATAGTGAGTGGTGTGAACAATATAGTGAGTGGTGTGAACAATATAGTGAGGGGGTGAGTTCAGTTATGGAGGTGATAGAGAAGAAGACAGCAGCAAGTCAAGGATGAGGTGGTAGTACTGGGAGTCGGGGGCCAGGTGAGGAGGCCTCACTGCCTCACCTGGCATGTATACCTCATAATGTTCCGCCCTCATGCAGCGTTAACCATGCACAGTGTCACCAAGTTACAAGGGCAGCCTGGATCTATCAAGCATCTACATGCCCACTGGCGAAACCTCTTCATCTTTCTTCAATCACGGCGGCTCATTTTGCATTTAATAAACAATTCTTGAGTGCCGCCGGAGACCTACAAGGACGTCTGATATAATATCCTCGGGTCGCTAAGCTTAGACGCTCATAAACTGCTTAGGAAATGCAGACAAAGCCGCCATCCATGATAAGATGTTCAAGTTTCCTTAAGTAAGCACGTAAATCCTTGATCAATCTTGGCTGATGTAAACTGTGCTGTAAACTGTAAACTTATGTTGTGCTGACGTGTGAGAGAGGTGGTAGAGCATCCCGCAACCTTAGCAGACCTGTCCAAGAGAAGGAGTGTCAACCCCTCCAGGTCTTGCAAGTGTTAGACCAGCTACACAGTAAATATTTCCTTGATATTAGAGAGAAGAATTGTCAATAATAACCATAAACCTTGAAAAATATCTGTACAAGGACTGGTAGACAATGGTGGAAGTGGGTGACGACGTCTCTGTGAGGGGGGAAAGTGGGTGACGACGTCTCTGTGAGGGGGGAAAGAACATTTCGTTATGAGTAATTTGTAACACTTTCGCGTCCTGGTTGTTGTGGTCTCTCTCGCACCAGGGACAGAGTCTGAAGGCTTGGTTAAGAAGGCGGTTAGGGGCGCGCAAAAAAAGCATGGTGGCGATGCAGAACATGGTGGCAAGAGGTGCGTGTCTGCCTCCACACCTGCGATGCCAGCTAACAAGTGACCACTTACGCCACTCCCTGGCCGACTGCTGCTCCCGCTCCAAGGTGCTGAGTGCCACCTGGGCATCTTGGCCGCCAACGACACGCCACGACCCCTCGCCATCGTGTCCGTACCTGACGTACCCAGCCTGTTCGTGCGTGGGTCGTCTGTCAAAAGTGGTTGCAGTATGGTCGCTTACGACTTCACCTGTACCGTCATGCCTGTAGGTGATGTAGTCGCTTCTGGCGTCGCTGGTAACCGGCTCTCTACCTGTCACGTGTCTCCACTGGAGGGAACCTTCGTCACCACCACTGTACCTGTCGTCAGTGCCTATTGTCCGGATGTCTGAGTGGACGTCGTAAACTCGAGATTCACCAACGTCTCTTCGATCATACCCAATCCATGCCTCCTTGGATACCCCATCAGGCATGGGACGCCCAGACGTATGGTAATGTAGAGTGCCCTGCACCCCACCACCAGGGAAGCCTGACTGCTCAAGCAGGGGGCTCCCATCCGGCCCACGCAGGGGGCGCCCATCCGGTCCAACACTACTGTGATAGGCAACCGTCTCGCTAGTCATCTGTCTATCGTCTGTGTGTGTCTCTGTGTCCCGTGTGGACCTACGAATGACAAATTCATTTTGGCAAGTGTCAACATCGCGTACATCAAGCTCTCGGATGGTGGAGAACGGAAGCCCGTCCCACGGCTGTCTACCGTATGTTTCTGTCCCCTTATGTTGCTCTCTCACACCCGGAGATCCGTCTATTGGTTCACCTGGTCGACGATCTGTTGGTTCACCTGGTCGACGATCTGTTGGTTCACCTGGTCGACGATCTGTTGGTTCACCTGGTCGACCGTATGTTGGTTCACCTGGTCGACGGTCAGTTGGTTCACCTGGTCGACCGTATGTTGGTTCACCTGGTCGACGATCTGCTGGTTCTCCTGGTCGACGGTCTGTTGGTTCACCTGGTCGACGATCTGTTGGTTCACCTGGTCGACGATCTGTTGGTTCACCTGGTCGACGGTCAGTTGGTTCACCTAGTCGACGGTCAGTTGGTTCACCTGGTCGACCGTATGTTGGTTCACCTGGTCGACGATCTGTTGGTTCACCTGGTCGACGATCTCCTGGTTCACCTGGTCGACCATATGTTGGTTCACCTGGTCGACGATCTGTTGGTTCACCTGGTCGACGATCTGTTGGTTCACCTGGTCGACGGTCTGTTGGTTCACCTGGTCGACCATATGTTGGTTCACCTGGTCGACCATATGTTGGTTCACCTGGTCGACGATCTGTTAGTTCACCTGGTCGACGATCTGTTGGTTCACCTGGTCGACGATCCGTTGGTTCACCTGGTCGAACGTATGTTGGTTCACCTGGTCGACGATCTGTTGGTTCACCTGGTCGACGATCTGTTGGTTCACCTTGTCGACGATCTGTTGGTTCACCTGGTCGACGATCCGTTGGTTCACCTGGTCGACCGTATGTTGGTTCACCTGGTAGACGATCTGTTGGTTCACCTGGTCGACGATCTGTTGGTTCACCTGGTCGACGATCTGTTGGTTCACCTGGTCGACGGTCAGATGGTTCACCTGGTCGACGATCTACTGGTTCATCTGGTCGACGATCTGATGGCTCTTGTCTCTCAACATACCAGTCACCTGGTCGGCGGTATATTTGATCATCTGGTCGACGGCCTGTTGGTTCATCTCCATAGATAATCCAATCACCTGGTCGACGTTCTGTTGATTGGCCTGGTCGACGATCCATTGGTTCACTTGGCCGACGAGCTTTAGGTTCACCAGGCTCATGATCCATGGGTTCAGTTGGTCGACGGCCTGTTGGTTCGTCCCCTAAGACAATCCAGTCACCTGGTCGACGGTCTGTTGGTTCAGCTGGTCGACGGGCATTTGGTTCATCTCCATATACAATCCAATCACCTGGTCGACGATATGCTGGTTCATCTGGTCGAACTGTTGGTTCGCCTGGTCGGTGACCCATTGGTTCACCTGGTCGACGATCTGTTGGTTCACCTGGTCGACGGTCTGCTGGTTCACCTGGTCGACGATCTGCTGGTTCACCTGTTCGACGGTCTGCTGGTTCACCTGGTCGACGATCTGCTGGGTCACCTGGTCGACGATCTGTTGGTTCACCTGGTCGACGATCTATTGGTTCACCTGGTCGACGATCTGCTGGTTCACCTGGTCGACGATCTGTTGGTTCACCTGGTCGACGATCTGTTGGTTCACCTGGTCGACGATCTGTTGGTTCACCTGGTCGACGATCTGCAGGTTCACCTGGTCGACGATCTGCAGGTTCACCTGGTCGACGATCTGCAGGTTCACCTGGTCGACGATCTGCTGGTTCACCTGGTCGACGATCTGCTGGTTCACCTGGTCGACTATCTGTTGGTTCACCTGGTCGACGATCTGCAGGTTCACCTGGTCGACGATCTGTGGGTTCACCTGGTCGATGGTCTGTTGGTTCTCTCTTTTCAACATACCAGTCACCTGGTCGACGGTCTGCTGGTTCACCTGGTCGACGATCTGTGGGTTCACCTGTTCGACGGTCAGCTGGTTCACCTGGTCGACGGTCTGCTGATTCACCTGGTCGACGGTCTGCGGGTTCACCTGGTCGACGATCTGTGGGTTCACCTGGTCGACGGTCTGCGGGTTCACCTGGTCGACGATCTGTGGGTTCACCTGGTCGACGGTCTGTGGGTTCACCAGGTCGACGGTCTGCGGGTTCACCTGGTCGACGATCTGTGGGTTCACCTGGTCGACGGTCTGCGGGTTCACCTGGTCGACGATCTGTGGGTTCACCTGGCCGAATGTCTGTTGAATCACCTGGTACACGATCAATTGGTACATGGACAGGTGTCTCCCGAGACGGTGATGAGCGGGGCACATGCCCCTGGGTTTGTCCTGCATCAAGAGGTACAGGCCTATCTTTCGGACCAAAGTAAATTGAATACAATCCTCCACTGCCACCACCAGCAGTATCTGGCATTACAGTGTAGGTGTAGTTGTAAGTTACAGGTGGCTTTGTGATTTTTTTCGTGCAGCGAGTGTATTGGTAAGCATTGAGTAGGGAATTTTCCACTTCGTGAATGTCTCTCTCTGGGGTGTGGCGCCGGCAGCTGCACGACTCGCCTCTGGGGCGCATGTAACTGGGGACAGAGCTAGTGGTAGACACCCCTGACAAAGACTGCATGCTGTATGTCCTACTCTCCATGTCCACACTCGACGTCCTTCGACGAGGTTGGCCAGAGTCGACAGATGATTTTCTGGGCTTCGACGTTTTACGCAAACGGTCATCTGGCTCTGGGGTAGGACCCCTTCTGGAGAATGGTGACCTTCTATTAGAAACAACATCACTCCTATCTAAGCTCGTGCTACTTAAGCGCTTCTCAGGCTTCCTGGCGTAGTCACTAACCCGGCTGGGTTTTCTCTCCCGTTCAACATCTTTGATATCAGGTACGTCTGTCTTTCTCTCGATTCTCCTGGGTGCTATGTCATCAGGCCTACTTGGTTTTCTCCTCCTCGGAGTCTCTGGTTCCTTATCGCTCACTTTAATCTGTCTCCTACCAACCACCTTTTCTGATTCTCCAGTTTCAGGTTCATCAGTTCTTCTGCTTGGATACTCTGGTAAAGTATACCCAGGTTTACTGCTCTTTCTTGTGGGAGTTCGGGAAATAAAAGCAGGTTCTTCCTCACCTGGCCTGCCTGGTCTCCTCTTTGTGGTCTCTGGTTCTTCTTCACCTGGCCTGCCTGGTCTCCTCTTTGTGGTTTCTGGCTCTTCTTCACCCGGCCTGCCTGGTCTCCTCTTTGTGGTTTCTGGCTCTTCTTCACCTGGCCTGCCTGGTCTCCTCTTTGTGGTCTCTGGTTCTTCTTCACCTGGCCTGCCTGGTCTCCTCTTTGTGGTTTCTGGCTCTTCTTCACCCGGCCTGCCTGGTCTCCTCTTTGTGGTTTCCGGCTCTTCTTCACCTGGCCTGCCTGGTCTCCTCTTTGTGGTCTCTGGTTCTTCTTCACCCGGCCTGCCTGGTCTCTTCTTTGTGGTTTCTGGCTCTTCTTCACCCGGCCTGCCTGGTCTCCTCTTTGTGGTTTCCGGCTCTTCTTCACCTGGCCTGCCTGGTCTCCTCTTTGTGGTCTCTGGTTCTTCTTCACCCGGCCTGCCTGGTCTCCTCTTTGTGGTTTCTGGCTCTTCTTCACCCGGCCTGCCTGGTCTCCTCTTTGTGGTTTCTGGCTCTTCTTCACCCGGCCTGCCTGGTCTCCTCTTTGTGGTCTCTGGTTCTTCTTCACCCGGCCTGCCTGGTCTCCTCTTTGTGGTTTCTGGCTCTTCTTCACCCGGCCTGCCTGGTCTCCTCTTTGTGGTTTCTGGCTCTTCTTCACCCGGCCTGCCTGGTCTCCTCTTTGTGGTCTCTGGTTCCTCTTCACCTGGCCTGCCTGGTCTCCTCTTTGTGGTTTCTGGCTCTTCTTCACCCGGCCTGCCTGGTCTCCTCTTTGTGGTTTCTGGCTCTTCTTCACCCGGCCTGCCTGGTCTCCTCTTTGTGGTCTCTGGTTCTTCTTCACCTGGCCTGCCTGGTCTCCTCTTTGTGGTCTCCGGTTCTTCATCACCTGGCCTGCCTGGTCTCCTCTTTGTGGACTCTGGTTCATCATCAACTGGCCTGCCTGGTCTCCTCTTTGTGGTCTCTGGTTCCTCTTCACCTGGCCTGCCTGGTCTCCTCTTTATGGTCTCTGGTTCCTCTTCACCTGGCCTGCCTGGTCTCCTCTTTATGGTCTCTGGTTCCTCTTCACCTGGCCTGCCTGGTCTCCTCTTTGTGGTCTCTGGTTCTTCTTCACCTGGCCTGCCTGGTCTCCTCTTTGTGGTCTCCGGTTCTTCATCACCTGGCCTGCCTGGTCTCCTCTTTGTGGTCTCTGGTTCCTCTTCACCTGGCCTGCCTGGTCTCCTCTTTGTGGCCTCTGGTTCTTCTTCACCTGGCCTGCCTGGTCTCCTCTTTATGGTCTCTGGTTCCTCTTCACCTGGCCTGCCTGGCCTCCTCTTTGTGGTCTCTGGTTCCTCTTCACCTGGCCTGCCTGGTCTCCTCTTTGTGGTCTCTGGTTCCTCTTCACCTGGCCTGCCTGGTCTCCTCTTTGTAGTTTCTGGCTCATCACCTGGTCTCCTCTTTATGGTCTCTGGCTCATCATCTGGTCTCCTCTTTATTTCCTCTGGCTCATCACCTGGTCTCCTCTTTATGGTCTCTGGCTCATCACCAGGTCTCCTCTTTACGGTCTCTGGCTCATCACCTGGTCTCCTCTTTATTCCCTCTGGCTCATCACCAGGTCTCCTCTTTACGGTCTCTGGCTCATCACCTGGTCTCCTCTTTATGGTCTCTGGCTCATCACCAGGTCTCCTCTTTACGGTCTCTGGCTCATCACCTGGTCTCCTCTTTATCGTCTCTAGCTCATCACCTGGTCGCCTCTTTGTGGTCTCTGGTTCTTCTTCACCTGGCCTGCCTGGTCTCCTCTTTGTGGTCTCTGGTTCCTCTTCACCTGGCCTGCCTGGTCTCCTCTTTGTGGTCTCTGGTTCCTCTTCACCTGGCCTGCCTGGTCTCCTCTTTGTGGTCTCTGGTTCTTCTTCACCTGGCCTGCCTGGTCTCCTCTTTATGGTCTCTGGTTCCTCTTCACCTGGCCTGCCTGGTCTCCTCTTTGTGGTCTCTGGTTCTTCTTCACCTGGCCTGCCTGGTCTCCTCTTTATGGTCTCTGGTTCCTCTTCACCTGGCCTGCCTGGTCTCCTCTTTGTGGTCTCTGGTTCCTCTTCACCTGGCCTGCCTGGTCTCCTCTTTGTGGACTCTGGTTCATCATCACCTGGCCTGCCTGGTCTCCTCTTTGTGGTCTCTGGTTCCTCTTTGCCTGGCCTGCCTGGTCTCCTCTTTGTGGACTCTGGTTCATCATCACCTGGCCTGCCTGGTCTCCTCTTTATGGTCTCTGGTTCCTCTTCACCTGGCCTGCCTGGTCTCCTCTTTGTGGTCTCTGGTTCCTCTTCACCTGGCCTGCCTGGTCTCCTCTTTGTGGTCTCTGGTTCCTCTTCACCTGGCCTGCCTGGTCTCCTCTTTGTGGACTCTGGTTCATCATCACCTGGCCTGCCTGGTCTCCTCTTTGTGGTTTCTGGCTCTTCTTCACCAGGCCTGCCTGGTCTCCTCTTTGTGGTCTCTGGCCCATCACCTGGTCTCCTCTTTATGGTCTCTGGTTCATCACCAGGTCTCCTCTTTGTGGTTTCTGGCCCATCACCTGGTCTCCTCTTTATTGTTTCTGGCTCATCACCTGGTCTCCTCTTTATGGTCTCTGGCTCATCACCTGGTCTCTTCTTTGTGGTTTCTGGCTCTTCTTCACCTGGCCTGCCTGGTCTCCTCTTTGTCGTCTCTGGTTCCTCTTCACCTGGCCTGCCTGGTCTCCTCTTTATGGTTTCTGGCTCATCACCTGGTCTCCTCTTTATGGTCTCTGGCTCATCACCTGGTCTCCTCTTTATGGTCTCTGGCTCATCACCAGGTCTTCTCTTTATGGTCTCTGGCTCATCACCTGGTCTCCTCTTTATGGTCTCTGGTTCATCACCTGGTCTCCTCTTTATTGTCTCTGGCTCATCACCTGGTCTCCTCTTTATTCCCTCTGGCTCATCACCTGGTCTCCTCTTTATGGTTTCTGGCTGATCACCAGGTCTCCTCTTTATGGTCTCTGGCTCATCACCTGGTCTCCTCTTTATTCCCTCTGGCTCATCACCAGGTCTCCTCTTTATGGTCTCTGGCTCATCACCAGGTCTCCTCTTTATGGTCTCTGGTTCATCACCTGGTCTCCTCTTTACGGTCTCTGGCTCATCACCAGGTCTTCTCTTTATGGTCTCTGGCTCATCACCTGGTCTCCTCTTTATTCCCTCTGGCTCATCACCAGGTCTCCTCTTTATTCCCTCTGGCTCATCACCAGGTCTCCTCTTTATGGTCTCTGGCTCATCACCAGGTCTCCTCTTTATGGTCTCTGGTTCATCACCTGGTCTCCTCTTTATTCCCTCTGGCTCATCACCAGGTCTCCTCTTTATGGTCTCTGGCTCCTCACCAGGTCTCCTCTTTATGGTCTCTGGCTCATCACCAGGTCTCCTCTTTATTCCCTCTGGCTCATCACCTGGTCTCCTCTTTATGGTCTCTGGTTCATCACCTGGTCTCCTCTTTATGGTCTCTGGCTCATCACCTGGTCTCCTCTTTATGGTCTCTGGCTTATCACCTGGTCTCCTCTTTATGGTCTCTGGCTCATCACCAGGTCTCCTCTTTATGGTCTCTGGCTCATCACCAGGTCTCCTCTTTATGGTCTCTGGCTCATCACCAGGTCTCCTCTTTATGGTCTCTGGCTCATCACCAGGTCTCCTCTTTATGGTCTCTGGCTCATCACCAGGTCTCCTCTTTATGGTCTCTGGCTCATCACCAGGTCTCCTCTTTATGGTCTCTGGCTCATCACCAGGTCTCCTCTTTATGGTCTCTGGCTCATCACCAGGTCTCCTCTTTATGGTCTCTGGCTCATCACCAGGTCTCCTCTTTATGGTCTCTGGCTCATCACCAGGTCTCCTCTTTATGGTCTCTGGCTCATCACCAGGTCTCCTCTTTATGGTCTCTGGCTCATCACCAGGTCTCCTCTTTATGGTCTCTGGCTCATCACCAGGTCTCCTCTTTATGGTCTCTGGCTCATCACCAGGTCTCCTCTTCATTCCCTCTGGTCTCTGGCTCATCACCCAGGTCTCCTCTTTATGGTTTCTGGCTCATCACCTGGTCTCCTCTTTATGGTTTCTGGCTCATCACCTGGTCTCCTCTTTATGGTTTCTGGCTCATCACCTGGTCTCCTCTTTATGGTTTCTGGCTCATCACCTGGTCTCCTCTTTATGGTTTCTGGCTCATCACCAGGTCTCCTCTTTATGGTTTCTGGCTCATCACCAGGTCTCCTCTTTATTCCCTCTGGTCTCCTCTTTATGGTCTCTGGCTCATCACCAGGTCTCCTCTTTATGGTCTCTGGCTCATCACCAGGTCTCCTCTTTATGGTCTCTGGCTCATCACCAGGTCTCCTCCTCTTTATGGTCTCTGGCTCATCACCAGGTCTCCTCTTTATGGTCTCTGGCTCATCACCAGGTCTCCTCTTTATGGTCTCTGGCTCATCACCTGGTCTCCTCTTTATGGTTTCTGGCTCATCACCTGGTCTCCTCTTTATGGTTTCTGGCTCATCACCTGGTCTCCTCTTTATGGTCTCTGGCTCATCACCAGGTCTCCTCTTTATGGTTTCTGGCTCATCACCAGGTCTCCTCTTTATTCCCTCTGGCTCATCACCAGGTCTCCTCTTTATGGTCTCTGGCTCATCACCAGGTCTCCTCTTTATGGTCTCTGGCTCATCACCAGGTCTCCTCTTTATGGTCTCTGGCTCATCACCAGGTCTCCTCTTTATGGTCTCTGGCTCATCACCAGGTCTCCTCTTTATGGTCTCTGGCTCATCACCTGGTCTCCTCTTTATGGTCTCTGGCTCATCACCTGGTCTCCTCTTTATGGTCTCTGGCTCATCACCAGGTCTCCTCTTTATGGTCTCTGGCTCATCACCTGGTCTCCTCTTTACGGTCTCTGGCTCATCACCTGGTCTCCTCTTTACGGTCTCTGGCTCATCACCAGGTCTCCTCTTTATTTTCTCTGGCTCATCACCTGGTCTCCTCTTTATGGTCTCTGGCTCATCACCAGGTCTCCTCTTTATTCCCTCTGGCTCATCGCGAGGTCTCCTCTTTGTGGTCTCTGGCTCATCACCTGGTCTCCTCTTTACGGTCTCTGGCTCATCACCTGGTCTCCTCTTTACGGTCTCTGGCTCATCACCAGGTCTCCTCTTTATTTTCTCTGGCTCATCACCTGGTCTCCTCTTTATGGTCTCTGGCTCATCACCAGGTCTCCTCTTTATGGTCTCTGGCTCATCACCAGGTCTCCTCTTTATGGTCTCTGGCTCATCACCTGGTCTCCTCTTTATGGTCTCTGGCTCATCACCATGTCTCCTCTTTATGGTCTCTGGCTCATCACCTGGTCTCCTCTTTATTCCCTCTGGCTCATCACCAGGTCTCCTCTTTATTCCCTCTGGCTCATCACCAGGTCTCCTCTTTATGGTCTCTGGCTCATCACCTGGTCTCCTCTTTACGGTCTCTGGCTCATCACCTGGTCTCCTCTTTACGGTCTCTGGCTCATCACCTGGTCTCCTCTTTATGGACTCTGGCTCATCACCAGATCTCCTATTTATTTTCTCTGGCTCATCACCTGGTCTCCTTTTTATGGTCTCTGGCTCATCACCAGGTCTCCTCTTTATGGTCCCTGGCTCATCACCTGGTCTCCTCTTTATTCCCTCTGGCTCATCACCAGGTCTCCTCTTTATGGTCTCTGGCTCATCACCTGGTCTCCTCTTTATGGTCTCTGGCTCATCACCTGGTCTCCTCTTTATGGTCTCTGGCTCATCACCTGGTCTCCTCTTTATGGTCTCTGGCTCATCACCTGGTCTCCTCTTTATGGTCTCTGGCTCATCACCTGGTCTCCTCTTTATGGTCTCTGGCTCATCACCTGGTCTCCTCTTTATGGTCTCTGGCTCATCACCAGGTCTCCTCTTTATGGTCTCTGGCTCATCACCTGGTCTCCTCTTTATTCCCTCTGGCTCATCACCTGGTCTCCTCTTTATGGTCTCTGGCTCATCACCTGGTCTCCTCTTTATGGTCTCTGTCTCATCACCTGGTCTCCTCTTTATGGTCTCTGGCTCATCACCTGGTCTCCTCTTTATGGTCTCTGGCTCATCACCAGGTCTCCTCTTTATTGTCCCTGGCTCATCACCTGGTCTCCTCTTTATTCCCTCTGGCTCATCACCAGGTCTCCTCTTTATGGTCTCTGGCTCATCACCAGGTCTCCTCTTTATGGTCTCTGGCTCATCACCTGGTCTCCTCTTTTGGGGTTTTAGTTGATCACCCTTAGTCACATCTTTTCTCTTGTCATCTGGTGTCCTCTTTATTGTTCCCTGTTTGTCAGCGAGAGGTTTACGGGTAGCATCTTCCGGCTTGCGTAACTCAACTTTACCTTTCTCCGGCTTCTTCCTCGTGATTTCCTCTTCTCTATCAGGTCTACTTGGTTTCTTTGCTGTTAAGGACTGATCTTTAGGAATTCTGCCAACAATACGTTCTGGTTCATCTTTTTCTGGTTTTTCTCTTAACTTTTCTGTATCTTTTCTCTTTTTCTTATTCAAATCCTTTACGTCTCGAGGCTTATGCGGAACATCTTTACGCACTTTTATCTTCGGTGACTTCTTTCTCTTTTCTTTCTTTTCCGTGTCACTGGTATCCGAGTCACTAGTAGTAGATTCCTCACTACTTCTATATTCCTCATCTTCATAATAATAAATTTCTTCATGATGTGTGGAATCTTCCACTAAAGTATGAGAGACATCTTCTGTCATTTGGACTGTCATAGACGTCTCATATCTCCGTGATATTTCCGTGTCCACTTTGGTGAGCTCCACAATAGTAGGTTCTGTGGGAGTTTCCCTGCCAGGTCTGGTGAGTGTTTTCTTTGGTTCCTCGTCACCTTCCCTACTTGGTCTCCTCTTTGTGGTCTCTGGTTCTTCATCCCCTGGCCTGCCTGGTCTTCTCTTTGTGGTTTCTGGTTTGTCACCTGGTCTCCTCTTTGTGCTATCTGGTTCCTCATCACCTGGCCTGCCTGGTCTCCTCTTAGAGGCCTCAGGTTCATCATCACCTGGCCTGCCAGGTCTCCTCTTAGTGGCCTCAGGTTCATCATCACCTGGCCTGCCTGGTCTCCTCTTTGTGGTCTCTGGTTCCTCATCACCTGGCCTGCCTGGTCTCCTCTTTGTGCTATCTGGTTCCTCATCACCTGGCCTGCCTGGTCTCCTCTTTGTGGTATCTGGTTCTTCATCACCTGGCCTGCCTGGTCTCCTCTTTATGGCCTCTGGTTCCTCATCACCTGGCCTGCTTGGTCTCCTCTTTGTGGTATCTGGTTCTTCATCACCTGGCCTGCCCGGTCTCCTCTTTATGGTCTCTGGTTCTTCATCACCTGGCCTGCCTGGTCTCCTCTTTATGGTATCTGGTTCTTCATCACCTGGCCTGCCCGGTCTCCTCTTAGTGATCTCTGGTTCCTCATCACCTGGCCTGCCTGGTCTCCTCTTAGTGCTATCTGGTTCTTCATCACCTGGCCTGCCTGGTCTCCTCTTTATGGCCTCTGGTTCCTCATCACCTGGCCTGCTTGGTCTCCTCTTTGTGGTATCTGGTTCTTCATCACCTGGCCTGCCTGGTCTCCTCTTTGTGCTATCTGGTTCCTCATCACCTGGCCTGCCTGGTCTCCTCTTTGTGCTATCTGGTTCCTCATCACCTGGCCTGCCTGGTCTCCTCTTTGTGCTATCTGGTTCCTCATCACCTGGCCTGCTTGGTCTCCTCTTTGTGGTATCTGGTTCCTCATCACCTGGCCTGCCTGGTCTCCTCTTAGTGCTATCTGGTTCTTCATCACCTGGCTTGCCTGGTCTCCTCTTTATGGTCTCTGGTTCCTCATCACCTGGCTTGCCTGGTCTCCTCTTAGTGGTCTCTGGTTCTTCATCACCTGGCCTGCCTGGTCTTCTTTTAGTGGTCTCTGGTTCTTCATCACCTGGCCTGCCTGGTCTCCTCTTTATGGTCTCAGGTTCTTCATCACCTGGCTTGCCTGGTCTCCTCTTTATGGTCTCTGGTTCATCATCACCTGGCCTGCCTGGTCTCCTCTCAGTGGTCTCTGGTTCCTCATCACCTGGCCTGCCTGGTCTCCTCTTTGTGGTCTCTGGTTCTTCATCACCTGGCCTGCCTGGTCTCCTCTTTATGGTCTCTGGTTCTTCATCACCTGGCCTGCCTGGTCTCCTCTTTATGGTCTCTGGTTCATCATCACCTGGCCTGCCTGGTCTCCTCTTAGTAGCATTTGGTTCTTCATCACCTGGCCTGCCTGGTCTCCTCTTTATGGTCTCTGGTTCTTCATCACCTGGCTTGCCTGGTCTCCTCTTTATGGTCTCTGGTTCATCATCACCTGGCCTGCCTGGTCTCCTTTTAGTAGCATCTGGTTCTTCATCACCTGGCCTGCTTGGTCTCCTCTTAGTGGTCTCTGGTTCTTCATCACCTGGCCTGCCTGGTCTCCTCTTTGTGGTCTCTGGTTCTTCATCACCTGGCCTGCCTGGTCTCCTCTTTGCTATATCAGGTTTTTCATTTACTGCTTTAATTCCAGGTTTTTTAACTGTCATTTCTGGTTTAAATGATTTATCTTTAAATGTTTCTAATTCTTCGGTGGTTTCGATGAACTGACTCGAAACTTCGGTAGCAGTTGTTTTGCTTATAATTGAACGACTGACAACACTGGTTTCATAAGATTCTGTTGATATTTTATTAATATTAACTACATCTGTTTGATCACTTCGTCTACTTGGTCTCCTCTTCGTGGTCTCTGGTTCTTCATCACCTGGCCTGCCTGGTCTCCTCTTTGTGGTCTCTGGTTCTTCATCACCTGGCCTGCCTGGTCTCCTCTTTGTGGTCTCTGGTTCTTCATCACCTGGCCTGCCTGGTCTCCTCTTTGTGGTCTCTGGTTCTTCATCACCTGGCCTGCCTGGTCTCCTCTTCGTGGTCTCTGGTTCTTCATCACCTGGCCTGCCTGGTCTCCTCTTTGTGGTCTCTGGTTCATTATCACCTGGCCTGCCTGGTCTCCTCTTAGTGCTAACTGGTTCTTCATCATCTGGCCTGCCTGGTCTCCTCTTAGTAGCATCTGGTTCTTCATCACCTGGCCTGCCTGGTCTCCTCTTTGTGCTATCTGGTTCTTCATCATCTGGCCTGCCTGGTCTCCTCTTAGTGGTGTCTGGTTCCTCATCACCTGGCCTGCCTGGTCTCCTCTTTGTGCTATCTGGTTCTTCATCATCTGGCCTGCCTGGTCTCCTCTTAGTAGCATCTGGTTCTTCATCACCTGGCCTGCCTGGTCTCCTCTTAGTGCTAACTGGTTCTTCATCATCTGGCCTGCCTGGTCTCCTCTTAGTAGCATCTGGTTCTTCATCATCTGGCCTGCCTGGTCTCCTCATAGTAGCATCTGGTTCTTCATCACCTGGCCTGCCTGGTCTCCTCTTTGTGCTATCTGGTTCTTCATCACCTGGCCTACCTGGTCTCCTCTTAGTGGTGTCTGGTTCCTCATCACCTGGCCTGCCTGGTCTCCTCTTAGTAGCATCTGGTTCTTCATCACCTGGCCTGCCTGGTCTCCTCTTGATCTCATCTGGTTCCTCATCACCTGGCCTGCCTGGTCTCCTCTTAGTGGTCTCTGGTTCCTCATCACCTGGCCTGCCTGGTCTCCTCTTCGTGGTCTCTGGTTGCTTATCACCTGGCCTGCCTGGTCTCCTCTTAGTAGCATCTGGTTCTTCATCACCTGGCATGCCTGGTCTCCTCTTAGTGGTCTCTGGTTCTTCATCACCTGGCCTGCCTGGTCTCCTCTTTGTGCTATCTGGTTCTTCATCATCTGGCCTGCCTGGTCTCCTCTTAGTGGTGTCTGGTTCCTCATCACCTGGCTTGCCTGGTCTCCTCTTTGTGGTCTCTGGTTCCTCATCACCTGGCCTGCCTGGTCTCCTCTTCGTGCTATCTGGTTCTTCATCACCTGGCCTGCCTGGTCTCCTGTTAGTGGTGTCTGGTTCTTCATCACCTGGCCTGCCTGGTCTCTTCTTAGTGGTCTCTGGTTCTTCATCACCTGGTCTGCCTGGTCTCCTCTTTATGGTCTCTGGTTCCTCATCACCTGGCCTGCCTGGTCTCCTCTTTATGGTCTCTGGTTCTTCATCACCTGGCCTCCCTGGTTTCCTCTTTATCTTCTCTGGTTCTTCATCACCTGGCCTGCTTGGTCTCCTCTTTGTGCTATCTGGTTCCTCATCACCTGGCTTGCCTGGTCTCCTCTTAGTGGTCTTTGGTTCTTCATCACCTGGCCTGCCTGGTCTCCTCTTTGTGCTATCTGGTTCTTCATCATCTGGCCTGCCTGGTCTCCTCTTAGTAGCATCTGGTTCTTCATCATCTGGCCTGCCTGGTCTCCTCTTAGTAGCATCTGGTTCCTCGTCACTTGGCCTGCCTGGTCTCCTCTTAGTGGCCTCTGGTTCCTCATCACCTGGCCTGCCTGGTCTCTTCTTAGTGGTCTCTGGTTCCTCATCACCTGGCCTGCCTGGTCTCCTCTTTATGGTCTCTGGTTCCTCATCACTTGGCCGGCCTGGTCTCCTCTTAGTGCTATCTGGTTCTTCATCATCTGGCCTGCCAGGTCTCCTCTTAGTAGCATCTGGTTCTTCATCACCTGGCCTGCCTGGTCTCCTCTTTGTGCTATCTGGTTCTTCATCATCTGGCCTGCCTGGTCTCCTCTTAGTAGCATCTGGTTCTTCATCACCTGGCCTGCCTGGTCTCCTCTTAGTGGTCTCTGGTTCTTCATCACCTGGCCTGCCTGGTCTCCTCTTTGCTATATCAGGTTTTTCATTTACTGGTTTAATTCCAGGTTTTTTAACTGTCATTTCTGGTTTAAATGGTTTATCTTTAAATGTTTCTAATTCTTCGGTGGTTTCGACGAACTGACTCGAAACTTCAGTAGCAGTTGTTTTGCTTATAATTGAACGACTGACAACACTGGTTTCATAAGATTCTGTTGATATTTTATTAATATTAACTACATCTGTTTGACCACTTCGTCTACTTGGTCTCCTCTTTGTGGTCTCTGGTTCTTCATCACCAGGCTTGCCTGGTCTCCTCTTTGTGGTCTCTGGTTCATTATCACCAGGCTTGACTGGTCTCCTCTTTGTGGTCTCTGGTTCTTCATCACCAGGCTTGACTGGTCTCCTCTTAGTGGTGTCTGGTTCTTCATCACCAGGCTTGCCTGGTCTCCTCTTAGTGGTGTCTGGTTCATCATCACCTGGCCTGCCTGGTCTCCTCTTTGTGGTCTCTGGTTCCTTTCCCCCTGGTCTCCTCTTTGTAGTTTCTGGCTCTTCTTCACCTGGCCTGCCTGGTCTCCTCTTAGTGGTTTCTGGTTCCTTTTCACCTGGCCTGCCTGGTCTCTTTACGGCCTCTGGTACCTCATCACCTGGCCTACCAGGCCTCTTTGTCGTCTCCGGTTCCTTATCATTTGGCCTGACTGGTCTCCTCTTTGTAGTCTCAGATTCATCACCTGGCCGAACTGGGCTCCTCTTCCGTGTCTCTGGTTCATCACCTGGCCGAACTGGGCTCCTCTTCCATGTTTCTGGTTCATCACCTGGCCTGCTTGGGCTCCTCTTCCGTGTTTCTGGTTCATCACCTGGCCTGCTTGGGCTCCTCTTCCGTGTCTCTGGTTCATCACCTGGCCGAACTGGGCTCCTCTTCCGTGTCTCTGGTTCATCACCTGGCCGAACTGGGCTCCTCTTCCATGTTTCTGGTTCATCACCTGGCCTGCTTGGGCTCCTCTTCCGTGTTTCTGGTTCATCACCTGGCCTGCTTGGGCTCCTCTTCCGTGTCTCTGGTTCATCACCTGGCCGAACTGGGCTCCTCTTCCGTGTCTCTGGTTCATCACCTGGCCGAACTGGGCTCCTCTTCCATGTTTCTGGTTCATCACCTGGCCTGCTTGGGCTCCTCTTCCGTGTTTCTGGTTCATCACCTGGCCTGCTTGGGCTCCTCTTCCGTGTCTCTGGTTCATCACCTGGCCTGCTTGGACTTCTCTTCCGTGTCTCTGGTTCATCACCTGGCCTGCTTGGACTTCTCTTCCGTGTCTCTGGTTCATCACCTGGCCTGCTTGGACTTCTCTTCCGTGTCTCTGGTTCATCACCTGGCCTGCTTGGGCTCCTCTTCCGTGTCTCTGGTTCATCACCTTGCCTGCTTGGGCTCCTCTTCCGTGTCTCTGGTTCATCACCTGGCCTGCTTGGGCTCCTCTTCCGTGTCTCTGGTTCATCACCTGGTCGAACTGGACTAATTTTTCTCCTTTCTTCCTCCTGTATTAGACTCTCCTTCGTTTTTAATGTTATTGAACTAACAGACATATGGCTTACTGTGCTGCTTTTATACGATTCACTAGATACTTTCCTGATGCTAATTTTCTCATTTCCAACAACAGCCTTTGCCAATGAAATTTCTGGCTCTACATCACCTGGCCTGCCTGGTCTCCTCTTTGTGGTCTCTGGTTCATCATCACCTGGCCTGCCTGGTCTCCTCTTTGTGGTCTCTGGTTCATCATCACCTGGCCTGCCTGGTCTCCTCTTTGTGGTCTCTGGTTCATCATCACCTGGCCTGCCTGGTCTCCTCTTTGTGGTCTCTGGTTCATCATCACCTGGCCTGCCTGGTCTCCTCTTTATGGTCTCTGGTTCCTCTTCACCTGGTCTGCCTGGCTTCCTCTTTGTGGTCTCTGGTTCATCATCACCTGGCCTGCCTGGTCTCCTCTTTGTGGTCTCTGGTTCATCATCACCTGGCCTGCCTGGTCTCCTCTTTGTAGTCTCTGGTTCATCATCACCTGGTCTGCCTGGTCTCCTCTTTGTGGTCTCTGGTTCCTCTTCACCTGGCCTGCCTGGTCTCCTCTTTGTGGTCTCTGGTTCATCTTCACCTGGCCTGCCTGGTCTCCTCTTTATGGTCTCTGGTTCCTCTTCACCTGGCCTGCCTGGTCTCCTCTTTGTGGTCTCTGGTTCCTCTTCACCCAGCCTGCCTGGTCTCCTCTTTGTGGTCTCTGGTTCATCTTCACCTGGCCTGCCTGGTCTCCTCTTCATGGTCTCTGGTTCCTCTTCACCAGGCCTGCCTGGTCTCCTCTTTGTGGTCTCTGGTTCATCATCACCTGGCCTGCCTGGTCTCCTCTTTGTGGTCTCTGGTTCATCATCACCTGGCCTGCCTGGTCTCCTCTTTGTGGTCTCTGGTTCATCATCACCTGGCCTGCCTGGTCTCCTCTTTATGGTCTCTGGTTCCTCTTCACCTGGCCTGCCTGGTCTCCTCTTTGTAGTCTCTGGTTCATCATCATCACCTGGCCTGCCTGGTCTCCTCTTTGGGTCTCTGGTTCCTCTTCACCTGGCCTGCCTGGTCTCCTCTTTATGGTCTCTGGTTCCTCTTCACCTGGCCTGCCTGGTCTCCTCTTTGTAGTCTCTGGTTCATCATCACCTGGCCTGCCTGGTCTCCTCTTTATGGTTTCTGGTTCATCTTCACCTGGCCTGCCTGGTCTCCTCTTTGTGATCTCTGGTTCATCATCCCCTGGCCTGCCTGGTCTCCTCTTTGTAGTCTCTGGTTCATCATCACCTGGTCTGCCTGGTCTCCTCTTTGTGGTCTCTGGTTCCTCTTCGCCAGGCCTGCCTGGTCTCCTCTTTGTGGTCTCTGGTTCCTCTTCACCTGGTCTGCCTGGTCTCATCTTTGTGGTCTCTGGTTCATCATCACCTGGCCTGCCTGGTCTCCTCTTTATGGTCTCTGGTTCCTCTTCACCTGGCCTGCCTGGTCTCCTCTTTATGGTCTCTGGTTCATCTTCATCTGGCCTGCCTGGTCTCCTCTTTGTGGTCTCTGGTTCAACATCACCTGGCCTGCCTGGTCTCCTCTTTATGGTCTCTGGTTCATCTTCATCTGGCCTGCCTGGTCTCCTCTTTGTGGTCTCTGGTTCATCTTCACCTGGCTTGCCTGGTCTCCTCTTTGTGGTCTCTGGTTCATCTTCACCTGGCCTATCTGGTCTCCTCTTTATGGTCTCTGGTTCATCATCACCTGGCCTGCCTGGTCTCCTCTTTATGGTCTCTGGTTCATCTCCACCTGGCCTATCTGGTCTCCTCTTTATCTCATCTGGTTCCTCATCACCTGGCCTGCCTGGTCTCCTCTGTATCTCATCTGGTTCCTCATCACCTGGTTTGCCTGGTCTCCTCTTTATGGTCTCTGGTTCATCTTCACCTGACCTGCCTGGTCTCCTCTTTGTGGTCTCTGGTTCATCATCACCTGGCCTGCCTGGTCTCCTCTTTATGGTCTCTGGTTCCTCTTCACCTGGCCTGCCTGGTCTCCTCTTTGTAGTCTCTGGTTCATCATCACCTGGCCTGCCTGGTCTCCTCTTTATGGTCTCTGGTTCATCATCACCTGACCTGCCTGGTCTCCTCTTTATGGTCTCTGGTTCATCTTCACCTGGTTTGCCTGGTCTCCTCTTTGTGGTCTCTGGTTCATCATCACCTGGCCTGCCTGGTCTCCTCTTTGTGGTCTCTGGTTCATCATCACCTGGCCGGCCTGGTCTCTTCTTTATGGTCTCTGGTTCATCTTTGCTTGGCCTGCCTGGTCTCCTCTTTATGGTCTCTGGTTCAACATCACCTGGCCTGCCTGGTCTCCTCTTTGTGGTCTCTGGTTCATCATCACCTGGCCTGCCTGGCCTCCTCTTTGTGGTCTCTGGTTCATCTTCACCTGACCTGCCTGGTCTCCTCTTTGTGGTCTCTGGTTCATCTTCACCTGGCCTGCCTGGTCTTCTCTTTATGAGCTCTGGTTGTTCATCACCTGGCCTGCCTGGTGTCCTCTTTATGGTCTTTGGTTTATCATCACCTGGCTTGCCTGGACTTCTCTTCTGTGTTTCTGGTTCATCACCTGGCCTGCTTGGACTTTTCTTCCGTGTTTCTGGTTCATCACCTGGCCTGCTTGGACTTCTCTTCCGTGTTTCTGGTTCATCACCTGGCCTGCTTGGGCTTTTCTTTCGTGTTTCTGGTTGATCACTTGGCCTGCTTGGGCTTTTCTTTCGTGTTTCTGGTTGATCACTTGGCCTGCTTGGGCTTTTCTTTTGTGTTTCTGGTTCATCACCTGGCCTGCTTGGACTTGTTCTCCTTGTTTCCTGTTTATAACCTGGCTTACTTGAGATCTTTTTTCTTTCATCCTTTTCATCATCTTCAAGTTTTTGGGGAACCTTTTTCTTTCCAGATTCAATATCTTTTTTCGGTTGATGTGGTTTCGATAACTCGCCAATCTTCAAGCTCGATATAGTTGATGATGTTTTTCTTACTGTACTTTCCTTGGAAGTTTTTGATATTACTTGTGAAATACGTCTATGTGTGTCCGTACTGTCATATTCAGTTGTTTGCTTTATGTCAGTGTCAGGGTGTTTATGATAGCTGAGATCATCAGGAAGGGTACCTGGGATTTAACAAATTCTAAATAGATTACATGACAAATATTGCTTTACTTAATACTCACCATGACACTGAAACCAAAGTTCTTTTTTTATAATATAATAAGACCATGAGGCATGGTACTTTTTAACTAATGGGCTATCTACAAAGTACGTTGAACTATTGATCATGCATTTGTAACCAGTTATCAACATACCCAGATTCTGTGATATGCATCAATATTTAAGCTTTTTCAGTAAGTCACGTATTGCAGAGAAACTCAAACTTTCACATATGATCCCTATAAACATTATCATCCGAATGATGCATAACACAGAATCAGAGCCAGAACGTTAGTGCGTGGCAGTCACTCACCCTCCTCCTTGCTCGGTTGCTGCAGCTTGATCTCAGTGTACGATGTCTTTCTAACAAATTTGAAACCATCGGGATGATCTGCCTCCGTCCTGGAGGCTACCCGGTACCCACCACTCAGCTCCTCCACTGACTCTTCTGTTTTGATGACTCCGTCCTCTTGCGCTCGGAGATCAAATTCCTCAGACAGCCGTGTGATCTGGTCCTCCGTCAATGTATCCAGGATATCATCGGGAGAACTGAGCTGGTCTTTAACTTTCAAATCCTCTTTAGTTTCATCTGTAAAAATAATTGTTTTAAAGTAAACAGGAGAATTAATTTTATTTATATGTATGTTGCTTTTTTAACTTAAATTAATAATAGTGTTTTATATAGGTTCCTGCTTATACATGATATCAATATGAAATGAAAGCTACTGGTAAATTTAATTAACTATAAAATATAATGTAAATTAGGTTAACACACAGGTATATTAATTTGATTATTTTGCATATTTATTGCTTTAAAAATAAAATACAGTATATAACAATATGTCTTTGAAAATCGTGTACCAATAAATTTAAACAAAATTAATGTAATCAACTTCTTAATGTTTTAAAGTAAACTGAAAATTGCATTAATATGCATAACCTAAAATAACTGCTCCTAGAAAATAAAAAAGAAACAAGTTTTTTTGTATCTAATAGCAAGTTTTTTGTTATTAATAAACATCGAAGCTGTGTGATAGCATCAAACCAACGCCTGTCATCACCTCAAGTACACCCAGTACTGGTTAACGCTCACACGTTCACTTCTCTTATACAGCCTCAAAATTTATTCATAGATTCATAACGTTATTATGATTTATTACTGTACTGTGCTTCTTTTGTTGTCTTTAACAATTCAACGTTTCATTTAAGGTAATAAAAACTCACTGTCTATGGTTATTTCAGAAGTGACGATGGAACGAGTATCTGTGCCGAGAATATTTGAGCTCGATGTCTTTTTTAAGATTCCAGTTAATTTCTTGGCTTTGGGTGTCTCCTCTGATGTTATAGTCTCGTGACGGGCAATGATGTTCTTCATGTCAAGTGACCGAGTGCTGAGATCAGTCTCCAGGTCCCATGTTTTGTGAACACGACTCTCTTCTGTTTCAGATGTTGTCTCAAAGTTCTCCCGAAGCCTCTGCTTTGGCTTGAGGCGTGGGGACTCCTCCACAACTGCTGGTTCTTGCACTGTTGAAGAACATTATGTGTTAGATTAAGGACCTGCTCGAAACACTATGCATGTTAGTGGTCTTGAAAGAATGTAAAAACATCAATGCTATATATGTACTCTCATAAACCCAATGTACCTTCTTGTATATAAATAAATAAGCTGTCAGTGCTGCAACTCTCACCATACTAAAGTGATTATTTTTAATTCCTGTTGTCAGGGACAGGAAGCCTATATCTAAGCTCATCAAGGCTTCCCAGGATGCAACCCACAATAGTTATCTAGCTCCCAGGTGTATATTTACTCCTAAGTGAACATACACATCAGGTTAAAGGAAATATGTACAACGGTTTCCATCCTGCCCAGGAATTGAACCCGGGTCCTTGGGTATGAGACGAGGACGTAGCCCACTGTGCTACAGGGCATCAAAAGCATGGTCACTATAAGGGCATGTGTGTGTAACAATGGTATCGGAAAAATTCTGATGTTAACCACAATTTCAGTAGACTGAGTCCTTTGTACAATGTAATTTGAAGTTGATACTTGAATTTGAATTTAATATGAATGACAATATCTGTTCTATCAGTAATCTCCCATCTATAAAAATATTAAGACAGTAAAGCCTCTAAACCATTCTGTCAAAACCTATGATCTCTACCTAACCATTTTCATAAAACCAGCATTACTCTGTATGAATGTAACGCGTTGAATGTATCACAGTGAACATATCACAGTGAATGTATCATGGTGAATGTATCACGGTGAATGTAACGAAACGCCAGTTTCTGGGTGAGCCTCAGAGGCTCCCTGACATTTCAGGGAGCCGACCGGGACTCCCCACAGAAAAATAGGTTTTGCAGTTAACAGGCTAAAGTGATATCATTTCTGTTCCAGTGATCTGTGGGATCACAGGTACAGTTCTGTGCATTTTCACCAACAATTTATAAAAAGGATTTGAATCTAAGTGTTAACTATAGATGTTGAATTGCAGCTACTTACCCCATTAGTTGCTGGAGTAATTAAATTAAAGTTTAAAACTATATGTACAGTACTGTATATGTATATTTTTACTGTATAAGTATATGTGCATAATACCGTACTAGTATAACAGTATGAAATTTGGAATTTCTAGTTGAGTACAGTACAGTATATATTATTATCTTTTGAGGCTCCTGTTATGTACATCATTGATGACTCCTTTAATGTACAACACTTTTGGCATGTATTGCCATATGCAGTCATAATAACGTGGCTGAAAGAAATAATCCAAGTGACAACGTTTCGTTCTGTCTTGGATCCTAATCAAATCATGAACGTTATCGCTTCCGTCTTACAGTATTTCATGTGTGTGTGTCTGTGTGTGTGTGTGTGTGTGTGTGTATGTGTGTGTGTGTGTGTGTGTGTGTGTGTGTGTGTGTGTGTGTGTGTGTGTGTGTGTGTGTGTGTGTGTGTGTGTGTGTGTATGTGTGTGTGTGTGTGTAGGGTTATTTATTGCCACATAGATCCTTCTTAATTCCTTAGCATTTTCCTCCCACAAATAACATTATGGCTCTGAACAGGAAATGCTGCATTTTTCCAATCAAATAATAATAACAATAATAATAATAATAATAATATTTTATTTAGTAAAAGTACATAGATGTTTGGACTTGGGTACTAACCTTTAGATTCATGTAATTTCAGAATTTCTTTCAGTGGCTGTGACCTTCGGGAAATAACTTCATCTTCAGGGCCCGAGCCGGACTGGTCTGGTGACTGGCCACTAGGGGTGTCTCTGAGGCGTGGTGTGGATTTTGTTGTTGGCCGAGGCTCCTCTGTCAGATTCTTCTTTTTTAAGGAATCTCTTAGGTTTCTTACCAAACCAGGAGAGGTTTCCTCTGTGAGAAGTGTAATTAAGAGTTAGAAACATGTTACTGAAATATGATCATTTTTCATATTTGATATTGCATTTGATTCATCTGCGATCACTTTATAAGCACACTAATGTAACGATACTGAAGAACCGGGTTTCATATAAAATTAGATTTCACCTTGTTATTAAACTTAAATTCTATTGTAATTCCAGCTTCCCTTTTACCTGAAGTGGGGGAATTAACTGTCGTCGAAGTAGTGAGTGTTACCTTCATCGGAGTAGTGTTCGAGTGATTCAGTCTCGTCCTCGCTATCACTCTCAAGGTCCTCCGGTTCCGGACTCTCAGAGTCTAGGGGGGACTCTGTGCTGACCACATCAGCTGGAGTTTGTGGTAGTCAGCAAGTATTATGTGTTGCACACTATGTGTCTAACCCATTTATATTTGCCTAATATATTGTTTTGTAAATTTAGAAAAGCTTAAAGGTTGGATCATGGATATTGCTTTTTTTTTTTTGTTAAAAGTTCTCTAGTAGCATCTAGTAAACTTGGTAGTAAATTATTCATGTAAAATAAATTATAATAAGCTAGATTTGTAATAAATGGTTAAAAAGCTTAAAAAAAGATTTTTTTTATTAAATTGTTTGTATTAAATAATCCAACTAGAGTAATAATAGAAGACCCTCAACATAATGTAAAGGGTGAGACAATCTTAAATCCCAGTTAGTAAAGTTAAATACACTACTAAAGAGGTTTATATAAGTGAGCCATGGAAATGGTCCATAAGAGATATCACACAAACAGCTAAACAACCTACTTGCATGAGTGGCACGCTGAGACACCACACTGGACACCAGACGACTGCTCTCCACCACTGATGATGCAATCTCTCGTTTTTGAAGAACTAGTCAATACAAAAAAAAAGATAATATACAACAATAACACGATAACACACATAACACACACAACGATAACACACACACTCATAAATACTTGAAAGTTCCAAATGCCCTTGCTGGGACTAGAACCTCCGCCCACGTGATGCAAAGCCGAGTGTTGTACCACTGTACCACCACCCTACAAAAGCATGGGATAGTCTTTATGAACTCATTCAACCCCATGTCCGAGTTATGTGGTCAACTATTTCATCTAGTCCTGGTTTAAGTCACAGAACATGAAATATCATGATAAACCTGAATAGTACAAAGGCCTCACTTTAAATACTGTACAGTATTTAAAGTGAGGCCTTCTTACTATTCCGGTTTATCATTTGATATATATACACATACAATGAACAAATCCACAAGGGCCATGACGAGGATTCGAACCTGCGTCCGAGAGCATCCATTTGATGCATCAAATGATGATTTCTGTGTGTATACACATACATATGTGCTGTTCGCACATAATCTATTCAAATATTTTTCATATGTTTGGTAAATGAATGGATGGGGGACAAGAAGCCAGCTGGAGGCCAGCAAAAGGTCTCCCCATTTTTCCTGAGTATTTATTTCCAACTGAATTTTGAACTGAAGTACCTCGTACTGTAGTGTGTTGGCATTTATGGCTTTGGCGGGTAGGCGATTCCATGGACTTATAGCCCTATGGGTAAAAAAGCATCTTCTGTTCTCTGTCCTACAGGATATTGTGGTTTGTTAAGCTTAAAGCTACATATTGCATTTAATTACATCTTATTGTGATTATAGAGCTACTCATTAAGCCCATATTGTGAGTTCTACAACTGTTCATACAGTATTTGTAATTATCATTTTTACTGTTATGGACAGGAATGCAACCCACAACAATTGCCTTACTCCTATTTTACTGCTTAGGGAACAGTAGAATCAGGTGAAAGGAAATGTTATCAACCATTGCTCTCCTACAAAATGGATTAAACCCGAATCCCCACGATGTGAGGCGAAGATGTAGACTACCATGCCAGAAGACTAATTCATGTGCATATTAAATGAAATTTTGATAAATACCTATTGTAATTTGATTAATACAAATCCCATACTACTTGAGTCAGACATGCTGACTTGAATTCAGTGTAAAATAGATTATGACATAACACTTTCGTTGCCTGATGCCGCATATTCCGTCACGGAACCAAAATATGGAGTATGTGGGCTGACCCAATAGGCGTAAATAATTTAAACATTTGTAGAAGTTCCATTTATTGTCCGAATATTATGGGACTTGTTTTAAAATGTGTGCCAACTTCTGCCCTGTCTCTGCATATCCCACGTGGCATCCTGACCCCACCGTGTGGGCGGCCACCCATGCTGGAGGCTCACTGTTTTCATGACTTCGCTCGTACCATGCTCGTGACCATGCTTGTGACAGTCGTGGCCTCCCCTCGAGTAAAAATTTTTCCCCATTCTGGTTATTTTATCTCAGGTATTTGTTGTTAACGGCTTTATAAACATTGCAAATTGATTTCCAGATGGATACTGATCAAGAACAGAGCCAATCCATGAAAAAAGCCTTGAAAGAAACACGTATGAGGGAAAGTTATTGAATTTTCGTCGAAAGTATAGAAAAGCGAGACTTATATGTTCTTATATACAAATATCCCTTTATAGCATTCTATTGCAAACAATTTGATACCAAATTGAACAACGTAGCACAGAAATTGAGTCAGAAAGCTGAAAAGAGTATAAACATTTTTTGTGCGGTGGTGAGCTCTCCGGCTATCTTGCGGTGCGCAGCGGGTCTAAAGTATAGGAATGTGAGACTTATATGTTCTTATATGCACATTTATTTATTTATTTTTATTTATTTATTTATATATACACAAGAAGGTAAAATGGGTTTATGAGAGTACATAGCATTGATGTTTATATATTTTTGTAAAGGCACTAACATGCATAGCTTTTCGGGCAGAAAATTTTTTAGAGAATTCTATTACAATCAATTTAATACCAAATTTAATGACGTAGAACAAAAATTGATGTCAGAAAACTAAAAAGAGTACTGTATATACATTTGTGGGTTGTGGTGAGTTAGCGCGCATCGCTCGGGCTACCTTGAGGTGCACTGTTGGTCGCCCGTCGGGGCAACGAAAGTGTTACGAGTTAAAAGCTTTTTATGTACAATACTACCAAATAAAAACCAGAAATGTTTAAAAAAAAAAAACTTAAAAAAAACTTACCTGAAGTGGCTCTCTCTGATGTCGCTTCTGTAGTCGTTACAGAGGTGGTTGTAGGTGAGGGCTTTCTGAGAGCTCGAAGGCCAAATAGAGGTCTACCAGAAGAGTCTTTAGGCACATATTCTTCCTTCTTGGGCTCTTCTGGCTCTGAGTATGGCTCTGGCTCCTCCACAGTTTTTGGCTCCTCATCACGAGGTTCTGCCTGCTCCTCCCTGGGAGTACTCACACCTGTAATAGATATTTAGATTCAGCTGGATACAAACTAAATAAATTTAGATTCAGAAAAGACCCGGATAAATATGGGTTTGGAAACTGGGTTGTTGAATTATGGAACAAATTACTGGGTAATGTAATAGATGTGGAATCACTGTGGAGTATTTCAAGCATAGGTTAGACACATATGTAAGTAAGTTAAATTTATATGTAATATAAATAGGCAGTGGCAGTTCGTGGCAAGATAGAATGAGGGGGGGGGGAGGAATGCACCACAATATTGTACAGCATGAAACCTCTATGTCTGTCTTGCTTTAATCAAAATTTTCAGAATTCCATTATAAATATATACTGATAATAAAATATAAAGACCCATTCTTATGACACATTTGTTAATTGCTTATTATTCTAGTGTGAGGTTGATAAAGAGTCATACACATGGCATTGAAAATCTGGGAAAAATGCAGCTCCGCAACTCCTATGGGCAGGCTGCCCCTGTAAATAGGAGCGGCCTTGTATGGGCCAACAGGCCTTGTGCAGTTTCATGTATTCTTTACGTTCTTATGAACCAGAGATGTTCTTGTCTGAATTATACAAACATTCAGACAGGAGAAGGAATGTGGCTTTGCAACTGTAAATTGAGTTTAGCTTCTAAACAAATTTATGTTTAATCAAAATGGAAAACATTCTAATAAAATAATTCCCATTATCAGGAGACAGGATATTTATTCTGCAGTTTTATAGAAAGATTCAACTATAACCACTTATTAGTAGAGATCTGATTACAAAAATGTTACCCATTCATGATATATACTTCACTGTATTCATCAATTATATTTAATTTCATATTATTTAATATTACTGTAGTTATTTGAAATATTATTTTTAAATATTTAATTATTATTCACATTCAGACAGGAAGCCTGTACAGTATTTAGGCTTACTGAGGGCTCCGCCCACTCGCCCCAGGCCAACTACAGTGCTGACCTCAAGGCTGGATTTAGATCTTGGGGGGCATAGGGCACTTCAAAGATCCCTCGATGTAAGCCTAACAGGTATATATACACTGGCTGCCTGTTTCTTGACATAATGAATTAATAAGTTGACTTTATTGAATGATCAAACTGTACATACAGTACTGTGTATTAAATAAACAAATACACAAGGGCCGTGACGAGGATTCAAACCTGCGTCCAAGAGCATCCCAGATGCTGCCTTAATCGACTGAGCTACGACATGGTCAAAAGAAATTGAAACCGAAGTTCTACTGAACTTACTGGATTCTGCAGCCTCTCTGAGGCACAAACCAGGGTTTTAGAGGCACAGGTTCGAATCCTCGTCACATCCCTTGTGGATTTGTTCATTCAATGCATCACGCAATTGTGATTTCTATGTGTACTGTGTATTAAAATGAGGACATCCACACTTGTTAGTTGTAAGACTTGAAATGCTGCACATAATTTATGGCTTTGTATAAAACAAAAATGATAAATCATGTATGTACAGTATACAATGCAATATAACCAACGTATATTGGTTTGGTATAAAGAAATATTATTATTACGTTATAATTTAAACCTTGTCTGCGATATACTGTATATATTGTTCATGTGCATACAGAGAGTCTCCGAGTTATTACATGTAGTGGGCGGTGATCGTCTCTTCAGAGCTCTAAGGCCAAACAGTGGCAAGCCATTCTCATCTGTGGGTCCCACACCATAAGCACTGATAATCTTGTCCACATCTGTCTGTTCTGCTGCGGGTTTAGACGGAGTGCGGCTTTGCCCTTTCTGATACCTCAGAGGCTCTGAGTACGGCTCGTCCGATGGTGCTGAGTAAGAAAGAGATGATAAGTCATAACACGTGTTGTGTACTTTAGTTTGTACTTTCTACATATGATATAGTACTACATATTTCTTATGCAACATCATAAAGTACAAGAGGCAATGAAAATTACGAAAGTGTGACACTAAGTGATAGCTCAAAATCAAAGTCTCAGCAGACTTTTCTAATAGAGTGTAAAATGACAGATAAAAATGAACATCTTACCCGTTTTTGTTGGCTGAGTTTGTCTCTTTTCAGGTTTGCTGGATTCTGGAATCCTAGAAGAAGACACATATTTCTTTGGCTCTTCAGGTTTGGAATATCGGCCAAATTTCCTGGGTTCCTCAGGCTTCACCTGTCTCTCTGACTCCCTGGGTTCTTCAGGCTGCTTATACTTCTCTGGTTCATCTTCAGGATATTTCCTGGTTGATCTAGGTCTCTCTGATTCCTTGGGTTCTTCAGGTTGCTTATACTTCTCTGGTTCATCTTCAGGATATTTCCTAGTGTATCTAGGTCTCTCTGGCTCCTTGGGTTTTTCAGGCTGCTTATACTTCTCTGGTTCATCTTCAGGATATTTCCTGGTGTATCTAGGTCTCTCTGACTCCTTGGGTTCTTCAGGCTGCTTATACTTCTCTGGTTCATCTTCAGGATATTTCCTGGTGTATCTAGGTCTCTCTGACTCCCTGGGTTCATCAGGCTGCTTATACTTCTCTGGTTCATCTTCAGGATATTTCCTGGTTGATCTAGGTCTCTCTGACTCCCTGGGTTCTTCAGGCTGCTTATACTTCTCTGGTTCATCTTCAGGATATTTCCTGGTGTATCTAGGTCTCTCTGACTCCTTGGGTTCTTCAGGCTGCTTATACTTCTCTGGTTCATCTTCAGGATATTTCCTGGTGTATCTAGGTCTCTCTGACTCCCTGGGTTCATCAGGCTGCTTATACTTCTCTGGTTCATCTTCAGGATATTTCCTGGAGTATCTAGGTCTCTCTGACTCCCTGGGTTCTTCAGGCTGCTTATACTTCTCTGGTTCATCTTCAGGATATTTCCTGGTTGATCTAGGTCTCTCTGACTCCCTGGGTTCTTCAGGCTGCTTATACTTCTCTGGTTCATCTTTAGGATATTTCCTGGTGTATCTAGGCCTCTCTGACTCCCTGGGTTCTTCAGGCTGCTTATGCTTCTCTGGTTCATCCTCGGGATATTTCCTGGTTGATCCAGGTTTCTCATTTTCTGAAGGTGCAGGGACAGGATAGTCATCCTCCGGATGTAGTGAGGCTGGTAAGGTCAAAAACAAGATTAAAGCCTTGTACTTGATGTAACTTTACATTTATGAGTAATGCTTAAAATTTCAGACATTTTACTGTATCGGAGTTTTAAAGTACAGATACTATATATCTTTTGATTATTTTAAGTTAATTTGATATTAATTATCCATAATGTTATGAAACTGTTAATAAACAGAATATGTAAAACTAATAAATAATAAGTTAGTATTGTCACAGATGCAGCAAGAAGGCTTGCGTTTTATTACCTTGCAGAAGAAATAGTAAAGATTAAGGAAATGTTAGATTAAGGACCTGCCTGAAACGCTATGCGTGTTTGTAGTTTTGCAAGAATGTAAGAACACTAATGTTATGTACTCTCACAAACCCAATGTACCTTCTTGTATATAAATAAATAAATAAACTAAATAAGAGAAAATGCACAACAATGCAGGTAACACCATCACCCCTACAAAAGGTAATTAAAAGTGAAATCAGAGGTTAATAGTAGAAGTAGTACAGTAGTAGGAAGTCATAATAGTAGTTGTAGTAGTAGTAGTAGCAGTAGGAAGTCATAATAGTAGTTGTAGTAGTAGTAGTAGCAGTAGGAAGTCATAATAGTAGTTGTAGTAGAAGTAGTAGCAGTAGGAAGTCATAATAGTAGTTGTAGTAGTAGTAGTAGCAGTAGGAAGTCATAATAGTAGTAGGAAGTCATAGTTTCCTATCTTGTGTTTCAAGCTCTCAGTGTAGCTTGTTCTACTCGCTCACCCATTATTAGTACTTTACACTGGTGAAGATTAGTTTTATCATCTGTCAATTTATTTTGTAGTTATATCTTGATATAACATTTTGCTATAATGTACCTATTTATCTTACCAGATCTGTTAGATTAAGGACCTGCCCGAAATGCTATGTGTGTTAGTGGCTTTGCTAGAATGTAAAAATACCAATATTATGTAATCTCACCAATCCATTGTACCTTCTTGTAAATAAACAAATACATCAATAAAAGTGTACTGCCTCAGGTATTTACCAACATTAAAATCTCAACTGTTAGTCTAGTTTGAAACCAGTGTTAAATTAGACTGAGGAGATGAGCAAAAAGGAGAAAGGCATTCAAGCAGGTACAATCCTTTATTTCCATGCAGTACGGCATCCACAATCACCAAGAGAGGCACATGTTAGCTAGGTTTGTCATGCAGTCTCATGTCATATATTATTTTTTCTTCTGTTTAATGATCAAATCTAGTCCTACACATTGAATGCAAGTTGTCTATCTTTCAGTCACTAAAATGGGTGAGGATGAATATATCAATGTGCCTCCTTGAGTAATGAGTAATTGAACTGTTTTCAGGAGTAATGAGTAATTGAAATTGTTGTGACACTTGGATGTGTCATAACCCAAATGAGAGAACACTCCAATTCATGATTCCAAAAACATTATTCTCTCACTGAATACCTTCATAAACTACGCCTTACTAGTGCATGCAGTCATGCATAATCTAAACTAAGTACACAACCCAGATATGATTCTAATCTATTTGCATTAGGTTCGTACATTCATACTCATATCACAGGCATAGCTTTCTCCCCTATTGCAACCAGAGGTCCCCCTCAACTCTACACGGCTACTGCTCCGTCATGGTGGTCGCACTGTGAGGTACTCACACTGGAATAATTTGATCTTATGTGTGATTCCTTTTACTCCCACCATAGGGTTGCCATCTCTATCTCTCGCAGGAGACAAGACAAACCCATTTGAGTCAGTATATGAATTTTGCCTCTTGAAAGGACGTTTGAGATCTAGGGTTCCCTCACTGGTAGAGACACCTGAGAATGTGGTATCCGCATCATCGGAGACAGTAAGGGAGATCTTGAGGTTGGAGGAGGTGCTTATGGAGGACAGTTTGTTGATGTGGGTCAGGACAGACAGCGAAGAGAGTGCTAACATGGGCCAAAACTTGTGTGTTAAAATGTTAGCGTGAGAAATTTTTATTTTATTTTATGTGTACAGTGTTCATGTTTTGGAAATAAAATATAGCAAACAATCAAGATTTTGGTTAACATCCATAGAGTCCTTTGGTAAAAAAAAAAAATCTGCATGTTGTTTTGGATTGATAGCCTTCATCTGATAAAGGAAAAAGAAAACAATAACTGAATGATGGTTAAATAAGCTTAGTAATTCAATGACGATTAAGTAAGCTTATTCATACAGTATTAGCATAAATGAGTAAGCTGTTAAATATAAGCAGACTGAGCCTCTCAAAAAATAAGACACACTAATAACACAAATTAGAATGATTATAAAACTTACATTTTGAGAGAGGTTTTTGCCGGGTGTCATCGAGACTTGAGTCCTCTGTATGTTTAGGTTTGGTTGCTCTTTGCTCCGTAGGACGTCTTGGTTGAGATGAGACTGTAGTAGTGGACGGCTTCGATGGGGATGTCCAAGATGAGGGGGTGGATGTCGTGGTGGTGCGGCTTCCTGGGCGCTTAGCTATTCTCAACTGTCCTCGAATTATACGACGCTCTTCATATGTTTCTGCTTTCTCCAACTGTAAATTAATTTTTTTATTGGTCTTGTGTAAACAATGCCATTAAAAATCAGATGTTTTTATATTAAGTCATGTGATTAAACACAAGTAACATTTAATAAAAATAAATAAGATATTAACAAAACATATTGTAACTGGGAAAAAGCTTACCATATTTTCGAGAATTGTAACATCAAAAATGGTCTCAATGGAAGAGAGGTACTGAGGGAGGCTGTCTCGGGAGACCTCTAAGTCTTCTATCAACTTTTTGTTGCTACTTGTACGCTCAATGCGCCGAATTTTGTTGGTGTTGATTCCACTGTCAATTGGTCGTCCTGTGATGAACCTGGTTGGGGATCCCTCCTTGGAAAATGGTGCAGGAGATGGTTCCTTGCTACGAGGTGTGGGGGATCCTTCCTTGCTGTGAGAGAGTGATGGACTCTCTCTTGAATAGGGTGAAGGGGACCGGTCTTTCTTCAAAGGCTTTATAGTATCTTTTTCTACAGGAATAATTTCATCCTCAAAAGATGGTTCTTGTTTTGTCGATTCCCTACGTTCCTCTGTCGTACGAGTATGGCTAGTTGTGGCCATGGCATTCATCACAAGCTTGCTGGACGTCATTTTGATGTCATCTTCTACTGGTTCTGGAGCAGTCTTTTCCACTGGTTCATCTGAATCACCTTCGCCAAGTGGGTGGAAGTATTTGGGCACTATAACTGGTTCCCTGACAGGCTTTCGGTCCTCTGGTTTCTTAGGCTTTTCTTCTTTCTTGACTGATGATTTAAATAAGGGCTTCCTTATGGGTGCTGGAATGGGGTCTTGTTTTGGCTGTTCAAACATTGACCTCTTTGAGAATACAGATTCTTTTATCTCGTAAGATGGCTTTCGTGTAGGCTTGTCTTTCTTGGTATCAGGCTGAGAAAGTCTGGCATTAAAGACAGATCTTCTAGCTGCAACTTCTGATGTGGTAATATTTTTCTCATTCTTCTCTGTAATTATTCGAGAAGCAACAGACTTTTCGTAATCAGCCAGTTTTGCAGGCATTTCTTCTGTTTTCTTTGGTAATTTTCTGACGTCTTCTGGAACTTCTTGGGTAGATGGCATCAACTCTTCTGTTGTTTCTTCAGAAACTCCATTTTCCTTCTCTTCACTGTCACTAGAGAAATAACTTTCTTCATCAGGAAGTTTTTCATATGGTTTTTCTTCTTTTGGCTTCACAATTGCTTCTTCACTGGGTTTTCGCTCAAATGGCTTCTTTTTCTCTATTTTTTTGTCATCATCAGGCTTCACAGCAGACAGCTTAGGCTCACTTGGTTTCTTTTCAAAAGAGTTCCGCTTCTCTGTCAGCCATGGTCTGTCTCTCGTCGTTCTTCTCGTGTCTGGCTGTTTCTTCTTTGGTGCTTCATCCTTGGGAGAGAGAGATTTATCACTTGGACGACTTTCCAAAGGCCTAGTTTTTCTTGGCTTACTAATCTCTTCTCTTACAGGCGATGATTCTTTAGGCTTCCTGCTGCTCTTGACAGGTTTTGCATCTTTAAATTCAGTATCGGACAACTCTTCAGGGTGCTCAGGTTGTTCTTCACATGCAGAATCAGATCCCTCCTCTTGAGAATCACGAGCATTATACTCAGATGGTTCTCGGACAATTGAGGGCCTGTGGATAGTGTGATATGGTAAATCTGGCTCACAGGACACATCTTCAATTACAGGGCCAAGTTCATCATCAACTGGGAGATATTTCATATCCTCTGTCATTGGGGTTTCAGGGAGTGTGACCACAGGGTCCCTTGGCTCAGGAACAGAGAGTGATGATTTGGGTTTCTCTTTTGATTCAAAATCTGGAGAGCGACTCTTGGGACTTCTCTCAGAAGGTTTGGTAGGACTTTTCCTGTCAGGAGTCCTAGAGGACAAAGGTTTTACTGGCTCCCGCTTGTCAGGTGACCTTGTTGTAGGAGCTTTTCTGGGAGTTTGTGAAAGTCTTGATGGTCGCACACTAGATCTTTCTGGTTCATTGACTTTCTCTACTGGCTTTCTAGTCCTTTGAGTCCTATCCTCAGGCCTCCTCTTAATATCTCCATTCAATTTTGGTTCTGCTGGTGTACGTCGAACATCACCATTAATTTTTGGCTTTCCTTCAGGAGAAGTTGTCTTCCTGACTGATGGAACAGTTGATCGTGGTGTTGTTTTCTGTGTTCTGGTTGGACTTACAGGTTCAGTTTCATTTGCTGCCCTGTGTGTCCTACAACAATTACGGCCAGTTGGTGTTACATCCCTTGGGGTTGAAACTCCTGATCTGTTCGGGGAGCGACCACGGTTAGGAGAGCTAGGCACTCGTTGTGGGGAAGTAGTGGCTTTTGGAACACGTTTTGTAGATTCTTTGGGTGTTATGGGTTCCTTCTGTGCAGGGATACGCCGAGTGGGAGAGTCATCCTTTGATGGCAATTTTCTGGAAGTGGTAGGCACTCTTCGTGAGGGTTCATCAGTATCAGGCTTCTTTCTTGGACTTAACTCATGCTTTTTCCTTGGTTCTTCTGCTTTTTTCCTTGGCTTTTCTACAGTCTTCTTCAAGGCTGTGGGTGATTTTTTTGATACTTCAGGCTTCTTCTTTAGTGGCTCCTGAGGCTCTTCTTCTGATGGTGATGATATCTCTTCCTCTGGCTCTACTTCATCAGGTGAAATGTCTTCCTCTTGGTCTTCTATATCTTCAGGTTCAAGCTGATCATCCTGTATGTAGCGGCGTTTTTCTTCCTCCTCAAGTTTCGCTATTTCCGTTTCTAAATCTTTAATATTCACATCCTTTGGTTCAGTAGCAATGACAGGATATTCCTGAGAAGCTTCCTCAGCCTGGTATGTTACTTTGCGTGTCTCCACATCCTCAACAGTTGCCTGATCCTTTTCGATACGCAACTTCACTTCAATTGATGCTTTATCATCTGAGAATGCAGGCAATAAATCTCTCTTTGCATCTTTATCTGGTTCCCGGGGTCGATCTTTGGGCTCAGATTTTCGAGGTGAGTATTTGAGAGGAGCACTTCCACCTGCACTTTTAGCTGCCTCTTCAAAGAACTTCTTTTTATTTAATGTATTTAGACGATCAGGTTTGCTTGGCTTGTCTGTTGAATCTGGCTTTTTGCTGGAGGCCGGAGCAAATCGGTTCTTTAGTGCTGAAACTGAACCATATGGAACATCATCCGGTTCATCATCTGGCTCCTCATTTGTTGTGTCTGGCTTTTTGCCTTGACGTGTAGTAGTACTGGGAGCAAGGTGTGCAACTAAAGTGGATTTCATTACTGCCTTAGGAATTTCCCTCTCTCCTTCCTCAGTCATGAAAACATCCTGGGTATGAACCCTCTTGGTGATGTTATATTTTTCTCCTGTTGTTTTACTCTGCCGTGTCTCAATGATAACGGTGGTGGGTTTTCCATCATCGCCAATTTCCTCCTTCTTACGGGTGTAAACAATTTCATCATCGAGTGAGGGGAAGAAACCAACTTCCTCATCCTCATTTCCTCCTTCAGGTTTGATGACTACATAGCTCATTTCTCGCTCAGGAACCAGGATGGGAGTAGACCGAAGCACAGTCTTTGTAGTGTACTCAGTGCCGTCTATCCGGCATCTAACCTCCACTACAGTCCTGACGATAGTACCGTCCTCCTCTTCATATTCATTTTCCTCAGAGCTCACCACCTTGTCATCTGGGCTTCCTACTTGAACAACATCCTCGGGTTTCTGATGCCGTTCATTTCCACTATATGTTATATGAACTTGTGGACCAAATTTAGATGTTTTTTCTGTTCGTTCCACCGTATACTGCACACCATCAGACCTTCTACGTCTTTCAATAACAGTTTTAATGATGCAGCCATCTTCAGTTTCCTTCTCATCAACAGACTGGTCTACAAGTTCATCATTTTCAGTTCCCACAAACGTTACTGGAGCTGGTGAGCTGAAAGTCCTATGAATATTGTGTGTTGTATACACTGATCCATCAGGCCTCTGGTAGCGCTGAATAACTGTTTTAACCACAGTGCCATCGTCAGTCTCCTCTTCGGTAACATTTTCATCCAAAATCTCATCTTCTAGTGACCTCGGGTGGTGGGTCGGCTGCTGGTAAACTTTAGACATTCTGCGAAGTGTGTACTGAAGACCAGAAACACTGCTGCGTCGGCGCTCCGTCACGGCCTTGTAGTGGGTACCATCATTGAGTGTTTTCTCTTTCACTTCCTCCTGCAACACCTCATCATCCAGGTTGGCCACCTGCAAAACTGGTTCTGGCATCTTGGGAATCCTCATTATACGGTGGCGTAGGTATTCAGTGCCATCCTTTGCACGCCTTCGCTCAATTATAGTTTTTATCGTTGAGCCATCCTCCTTAACATCTTCTTTCACATCTTCATTAATAAGCTCATCATCAGCACTGACAGCAATGTTAGATGAGCCTGAACTACCTACAGGCATTTTCTTCACATCATCTTCTGTCCCTTGGAAACTGCGGAGAACATACTCAAATGAATACGTTGAACCATCCTTCCTGCGGCGAGTCTCCGTGACCACCTTGACAGTCATACCACTTTCATCTGTCTCCTCCTTCTCCTTCCTATTAACCACTTCATCATCATTTTGGATTGTTGGTAAACCCTTCTGCAGGTCTACTCCAGAGAGTGTCATTCTACGAGACCTGAATACTTGCCTGTGGGTGTACTCCTCACCCCCTTTGGTGCGACGTGTCTCAATCACCGTGCGAATGATTGAGCCATCATCTTTTCTCTCTTCAGTCTCTTTGGTGTCAATCACTTCATCATCATCTGATGGGGTAATCTGAGTACTCTTGACTTTAGACGTTTTATAAACCTTTTTAGTAGTGTATTCCATGCCACTGGGTTTACGCCTTGTCTCTGTAACTGTCTGGATTGTAATTCCATTTTCATCAGTTTCTTCAGTTTCATTAGTGGAGATAAGTTCATCCTCTTCGTTATAAGCAACGTCTTCAGGATGGTCATAGTCAAATATTTTTGAAGTCTTTAGAATGTTTTTAGTAGTATAGGTGATGCCATCAGGTCTGCACCGCGTTTCAGTGATAATTTTGATTTTATTGCCCTCCTTATCTTCTTCCTCCGCAACATTCCGCTCCAACACCTCATGGTCTGGGTTTCCAATAAGGATTTCATCAATCTCGCTCTCGGTATTGACCACTTTGGTTGACCTGGCCACACGACGAGCAGTACATTCGGTGCCATCCTTCTTGCGGCGCGTCTGCACCAGCATCTTTACAACGTTTCCAGAGTCATCTATACAATCTTCCTCCTCTTCCATGATGATCTCATCATCATCACTAACACTAGCACGAAGGTAAGAATCAAGTTTATCTAACTCGGACATTATTGATGTTTCCATCTTGGATTCTATCTCTGCCAGTTTTGATTTCTTTGACGATGGTGCAATCTTGCTACCTGTCCTTGTGGGAGACTTGTTTGGTGAAGTAGGTGCTTCCTTTTGAGCACCTGTCCTGCGGGGCATGTTGCTCCTGCTTGAACTCTCTCCTGGAGTGCGTTTTGTGGGCGACGTTGGCGAAGCCTTTTCTCCGCCAGTACGTTTAGCTGAACTCAAGTCCAATTCCTTAGAAGTCTTCCTCTCACTAACTTTGCGAGATGATGATTCTTTACGAACAGGTATTTCTGACTGTCTGGACCTTGCCGTTCTTGTTGAGGTTGTTCTTTCATCCCTCGAAGATTTTCTGGAGGAGGATGTCTTTGATGTGGATGTTTGAAGAGATTGTGTCACATTTTCAGTCTCAGTTCTGAGTGCTGCCTCATCATCTGAGGTGAGGCGACCCTCATTGGCAGACGTTTCATCCTCAGCTGAAGACCTACGCTCTCTCATGATGCGTGTGGGCGACACGGAATCTCGAACTTCCTTGTTCTTCATGGAGAGATACCCTTCACCAGCCAGTGCATTAGACTGAATAGAATAAGTTGACTTTGTGATGGACACCACTGCATCACCCTCACTGTTGACCTCACTGTCGGATAGCTCCCCGATGATGCGCTGGAACCTGGTGGCCCGATCGTCACTAGCCTTGCGGATACGTTCTTGAATGATGTCGTCTGGCTCGAGGCCCTCCAAGTTCACGGTGTCCACTCCACGCATTGTGAGTCCACCTAGACGGATGTTCTGTGTTGAGATCGAATCAGTTATGGCTGAATCCCCATCCACATGCATTGTCACCTGCATGTCAGAATAAAATAATAATTTAGATACAGTATAAAGTATTTGTAAAAATTACTAAATGAAATTTATTTAATTTTTTAATAAAAACTAATCTTGTTTCATTTGTTAATGCATGTACATAATATACAATGCATGTATGGTAATTTAAACATGGCAAATTTATATTACATTGCTATAAATAAATATAAAACTCAATTACCTAGAACAATACTTTTTTGTTTGTAGAACATTAAGCTGGGTATAGACCTATGTGTGTTTCAAGATTTTAGATAACAAATTATACTTAATAAAAGCACACACACACACACAGAATGAGAGAGAGAGACAGAGACAGACAGAGAGAGAGAGAGAGAGAGAGAGAGAGAGAGAGAGAGAGAGAGAGAGAGAGAGAGAGAGAGAGAGAGAGAGAGAGAGAGAGAGAGAGAGAGAGAGACAGAGAGACAGAGAGAGAGACAGAGAGAGAGAGAGAGAGAGAGAGAGAGAGAGAGAGACAGAGAGACAGAGAGAGAGAGAGAGAGAGAGAGAGAGAGAGACAGAGAGACAGAGAGAGACAGAGAGACAGAGAGACAGAGAGAAAGAGAGAGACAGAGAGACAGAGAGAAAGAGAGAGGAGAGAGAAAAGATTGCTCAAAGCATTTCACCTGAATGTTAGAGGAGCGTCGCGAGGTGTTACCCCCTTCCTCAATGGTGATGGTGGTCTGGGTGGACTCCGTGGCCCCGCCATCGTCCGTCACGTTGAGGGTGCCCAAGCTCTCCTCGTCGTTCTGCATCATCTCTCGGAGCCGCTGTTCCCTCAACTTGTACATCCTGGCCCGGATGCGCCGCCGCTCCCCGAAGTCCTCCGCCTGCTGCCACTGTCAACACCACACCTTGTTTACCACCCACTGACTCCACGCTCACATATTCTATCACCACCGCACCAAATTAAATACTCAGCTACAGTAATGGGGCATCAGAGCTACAGGACAATACAATATACAGAGCCACAAGAAAATATACACAAGTTTAGGTAAGTATATGTTTGTGTACTTGTCGGAAGGTCAACATGCCCGCCACACTGCTGGAGTGATACAGGTACTCTACACTATGGAACCCCCTTATTTTGAACCTAACTTAAGATAACCTAACCGCACACTATATAATGAACCCCCTACGGGCTCGAGCACTAAGGGTGACACAACTGCAGCATTCAAGAAGCCCCACAGCTGCAGCACTGAAACAATGCACACACACACACACACACCTGGTGTGTGTGTGTGGAGGCCAAGGTGGTGGAGGCCAAGACCGTCAGTAGTTTCAAAGCGATATATGACAAAGAGTGCTGGGAAGACGGGACACCACTAGCGTAGCTCTCATCCTGTAACTACACTTAGGTAATTACACTTAGGTAATTACACCTGTAGTCATTAAGCAAGTGCTGTGTACTTGTGAATGTATAACATCACATGTGTACTTGTGTGTGTATAACATCACATGTGTACGTGTGTGTGTATAACATCACATGTGTACGTGTGTGTGTATTCCCCCCCCCCCTCCCCAAACCCATTTGATATTCTTAACTTTCAACATTTATTTTTGTCTTCTTTGTCTATTCGTCAGATAATCTTAGCTATAATCTAATATGTCGTTATCATGTCCACTTATTCCTCCTCTCCTGCAGGTCTATTTCACCAGTGTTTCCTCTGAGCTCTGAGATCACATCTTGGGAATGTGCTGCTTAGTACAGAGTTTGTTCACTATCCTGAAGCTGAGCCAAAGAGACATTTATAATGTCTCTTTGACAGGAAGAAAACCGTCCAAGGACAAAACCTTCCTATGACAAACCTTTCTAGGACAACAAAAACTGGATTAAGACTCCTAACTTAACCTAACTTCAGTATTAAATTACATATATTTTTCTCCTAATTATAACGGTATTAAATGGTATTAAAGAACAAAACAATTTTAATGGGATTTAAAGTACAAATTAATTATAATGGTATTAACTGGTACTAAAAGTCCAAAATAGTTATAATGTATTAAACGGTTTTATAGTCCGAAATTTTTACAATGGTATTAATGTACGAAATAATTATAATGCTATTAAAGTCCGAAATAATTATGGTAGTAAAGTCTGAAAACAGAAAAAATGGGGCATTTTTAGGTTTAAATTTAATCAAGTTAGGGAGTTTTTTTCTACTTTGCACTTTAACTGAGGGTTTTTTGTCCTAACGGGGTTTTGTCCTGGCGAGGTTTTGTCCTAGCGAGGTTTTGTCCTAGCGAGGTTTTGTCCTAGCGAGGTTTTGTCCTAGCGAGGTTTTGTCTTAGCGGGGTTTTGTCCTGGCGAGGTTTTGTCCTAGCGGGGTTTTGTCCTAGCGAGGTTTTGTCCTAGCGAGGTTTTGTCCTGGCGGGGTTTTGTCCTAGCGGGGTTTTGTCCTAGCGGGGTTTTGTCCTAGCGAGGTTTTGTCCTAGCGAGGTTTTGTCCTAGCGAGGTTTTGTCCTAGCGGGGTTTTGTCCTAGCGAGGTTTTGTCCTAGCGAGGTTTTGTCCTAGCGAGGTTTTGTCCTAGCGAGGTTTTGTCCTAGCGGGGTTTTGTCCTAGCGAGGTTTTGTCCTAGCGGGGTTTTGTCCTAGCGAGGTTTTGTCCTAGCGAGGTTTTGTCCTAGCGGGGTTTTGTCCTAGCGAGGTTTTGTCCTAGCGAGGTTTTGTCCTAGCGAGGTTTTGTCCTAGCGAGGTTTTGTCCTAGCGAGGTTTTGTCCTAGCGAGGTTTTGTCCTAGCGAGGTTTTGTCCTGGCGAGGTTTTGTCCTAGCGAGGTTTTGTCCTGGCGAGGTTTTGTCCTGGCGAGGTTTTGTCCTAGCGAGGTTTTGTCCTGGCGAGGTTTTGTCCTGGCGAGGTTTTGTCCTAGCGAGGTTTTGTCCTGGCGAGGTTTTGTCCTGGCGAGGTTTTGTCCTGGCGGGGTTTTGTCCTGGCGGGGTTTTGTCCTATGGAGTTTTGTCCTATGGAGTTTTGTCCTATGGAGTTTTGTCCTATGGAGTTTTGTCCTATGGAGTTTTGTCCTATGGGATTTTGTCCTATGGGATTTTGTCCTATGGGGTTTTGTCCTATGGGGTTTTGTCCTATGGGATTTTGTCCTATGGGATTTTGTCCTATGGGATTTTGTCCTATGGAGTTTTGTCCTATGGAGTTTTGTCCTATGGGGTTTTGTCCTAGCGGGGTTTTGTCCTATGGGGTTTTGTCCTATGGGGTTTTGTCCTATGGGGTTTTGTCCTATGGGGTTTTGTCCTATGGGGTTTTGTCCTATGGAGTTTTGTCCTATGGAGTTTTGTCCTATGGGGTTTTGTCCTATGGGGTTTTATCCTATGGGGTTTGTCCTATGGGGTTTGTCCTATGGGATTTTGTCCTAGCGGGGTTTTGTCCTAGCGGGGTTTTGTCCTAACACATTTTGTCCTATGGGATTTTGTCCTATGGGGTTTTATCCTATGGGGTTTGTCCTAGCGGGGTTTTGTCCTAGCGGGGTTTTGTCCTAGCGGGGTTTTGTCCTAGCGGGGTTTTGTCCTAGCGGGGTTTTGTCCTAGCGGGGTTTTGTCCTAGCGGGGTTTTGTCCTAGCGGGGTTTTGTCCTAACACATTTTGTCCTATGGGATTTTGTCCTATGGGGTTTTATCCTATGGGGTTTGTCCTATGGGATTTTGTCCTATGGGGTTTTATCCTATGGGGTTTGTCCTATGGGATTTTGTCCTATGGGGTTTTATCCTATGGGGTTTGTCCTATGGGATTTTGTCCTATGGGGTTTTATCCTATGGGGTTTGTCCTATGGGATTTTGTCCTATGGGGTTTTGTCAGGACCCTGTTCCCAACTCCCAATGCCATTACTTTGCACTTGCTGAAGTTAAACTCTAGTAGCCGCTTGAGGGCCCATGCAGTCTCTCAGTGTGTCCATGGTAACCCTGTTGATATGAAGGATTTTATGGGGCTTACTAACTCTCCCGATGGTCACGAAGAGGGGGGGTAATGGGGGAGGGGGATGGGGGGGGGGTGAGAGGGGGGTGATTTCCCCCCCCCCCTCTCATGTGTTGTCTTCTATGATGTGATGACGTATATTGAATCTTGCAACTAGCTCATCAAGATTGCAACATGCTTAGCTAAATGAATTGTTGGGTTCAGTCTCTGTATTATGTGCCTCTGTAACCCTTTCCACTACCGCCCACAAGGTATGGGGTGCATAATAAATGAACTAAACTAACTACAGACCAGACAAGAAAAGAAGTTATGGAAGCCACCTCCATCCACAACTTTAAGAGGCCAGAATCGAGAGGATATGCCAAAGTTAGAATAGTTCAATTATAACACAACAGGTATACTACAAGGCTATTAAGCTGGGCAGAAAGTGCTAGACACCACAGGCACATATAGGTAAGTACTGATAGGTAACTATATAATCATAGTAAATATAAATTACAAATACATAATTTATATTATTTACAGATATATATATATATATATATATATATATATATATATATATATATATATATATATTATATAGATATATATATATATATATATTATATAATATATATTATATATATTATATATATATATATATAATTATAAATAATTTATATGACAGATATAACTTATAGATAAATTAATTCAATAATTAACCTCATTTATTATTAATGGTCTGACAAGTAAGTTAGATAAGTATGTTTTAGGAACTCTCAAGTGTACTTGCAATGTTCTCTGATGTACACTTATAAAGTCAGCTAATTTGCATTACGCATCCAAATATACTTAGACAAGGTATGATTTGACTTACCTTAAAGAGATCAGATTAATATACACATTCCTGTAAGCAACATGGGTGAGTGAGTGAGTGTGTCGGTGCCTGTTTGTAAGTATATGAGTGCAAACATGGGAAGCAAGTATATATATATATGAATGTATATATGAGTCTGCATGCGTGTGGATATATGTATACAACTTTGCATGTGTACAGAAAGATACAGGAGGCAGGGAAGGTCACGTCAGTACATATTATCCAGCGCAAACATGCAGAAGCCACATTTTGGGAGAGTTAGGGCGCGTGTTGTTATTGTGAGTCACAGAAGATGGGAAACAGATACTGAAATTCAACCGTCGAATCCAGGTCTGTATATGTGACACGAAAAAATATTTTCCGGGGGAAATTGACCTTAGTCGTGAGTGACCTCGGCCCTGGGAGAGTGACCCCCATCTGGGCATTCACACCCGACGTTACCTTAGAGTAAAACTTGCGCTAAGGCAAGCCATTTTTTTGTTTAAAGTTATGCGACGTCATACACAGACCAGATCCGAACGGTTCCTTCGTCTCATCTAAGGGAGCGGGGAGAGGGAGTGGTGGATAGTCAGGGAGAGGATGTAGAGGTCAGGGAGAGGATATGCTAGTAGAGGGGACGACCATAATATGGCTGAGGGTCGCAGGGAGAGGAGGGGAGGGGAGGGGAAGACTCACCATCATCCTGAGTCGCTCCTCATCAGTGATAGCGTCGAGGTCGGCGAGGGCGGTGGTGGCCCCGAAGGGCGCCGCCACCGAAGTCATCCCAGCCTGCGGGGGAGACACACCACCTCAGCTCTCCACAACACTGCTCCAACTCTACTCTCTACGCTAAAAGGTTTGTACACACATGGGGCAGGCCTCCCTGCCCCTCTTCAGTAATTAATATAGTCTGTGTCAGTCACGAGTTGAGGTCATTCAATCGTTTTTAACCACGATCTGAGGCTCAATGGAATCTATAAACACGGACGTTCTGCAAGGGGACAATCCGAATTTGTATATATTAATTTCTTTTATTTAAATATATGTCCATTTTAGTTTAATATAATTATTTATCGCTTAAGCATTCTAGCGTGTTGAAGAATGTTAAAAAACCCGTTGAGATAACATCAACAATTAGAGGTATGTACAAGATCTGAGAATTATGTCTGACGACCTGACATTTAGTGAACACAACCGAGCAAATACAGCGGCAGCCAAGAAAATGAACCGATGGATTATGAGAACCTTCAAATCCAGGGATCCCACCACAATGTTAACACCAAAGAGCCAAAGTTCAACCCCTGCAAGCACAACTAGTTGAGTACTCTTTAAATCACTTGTGCTTTCCCGTCTTGAGTACTGCTCGGTACTCACTTCCCCCCTTCAGAGCGGGAGAGATTACTGAAACAGAAGAAAAATAGAGAACATATGCCGCATACATAGACTCGATAGAGCACCTAAATTATTGGGATCGTCTCACAGATCTGAGAATGTTCTCTCTGGTAAGTAGACGAGGTATCAAATAATAATATATACATGGAAGATACTGGAAGGTCAGGTCCCAAATTTGCACAGTGGAACAACACCATACTGGAATTGAACTATCAGGGAAAAAGCGCCAAGCCATTACGACTATATAGCACTGGGAAGGAGTCAGGATAAGGATTTGGGATGGGACGGGGATTCGGAAGGAATGATGCCCAACTACTTGGACGGTCGGGGATTGAACGCCGACCTGCATGAAGCAAGACCGTCACTCTACCGTCCAGCCCAGCATACTGGAGCGAAAGATACGAAAGGAAATGTAGAACGGAGCCAGTGAGGAGTAGAGGTGCCATAGGCACAATCAGAGAGCACTGTCTGAACATCAGAGGTCCACGGCTGTTCAATACCCTCCCAGCAAGCAATAGAAATATTGCCTTAACAAAGATGGATGTCTTCAAGAATCAATTAGACAAGTTTTTGCAAAAGTTGCCGGACCAACCGGATTGTAGTGGATATGTGGACCTGCGGGGCGCTCCAAGCACCAGCCTGTTGGACCAAGTTCCTCTCCATGTATGCTCCAGATTCGACTAATTCTTTACAAATGCAAAAACTACAGCACAGTTGTTGTTGTTGTTTTAGATTTAGCTACTCAGAATGAAGTGTCCATGTAGCACGGGCTATGGTGAGCCCGTAAAGCAGCACAGTTATATTGACGATTTTTATGCATCAGCTTCAATATGTTAGGAATATTAAGAGTTAAGTTTCAGTCGAAGTGTTTTGTTTACACGCCTTGTCCGAAACGCTGCGCGTATTAGTGGCTTTAGGCATTGTATGTACTCACCTAGTTATACTCGCCTAGTTGTGCTTGCGGGGGTTGAGCTCTGGCTCTTTGGTCCCGCCTCTCAACCAATGTACTAGCTCTATTTAGGATTGCTTGGGCTCGAACGTTCGGACCAGGATTCATCGAGCATTCACATATCCACTCACAACACTTGTACATGTCCCCACAATCATGGCGGCTTAAGTCTGTATTCATCAACCAGCTTACGAGGTTGGAGACGCTGCTGCGAGATGGCTCCCGACCCCTGGAGCCAGATTCACGAAGCAGTTACGCAAGTACTTACGAACGTGTACATCTTTCCTCAATCTTTGACGGCTTTGGTTACATTTATTAAACAGTTTACAAGCATGAAAACTTGCCAATCAATTGTTGTTATTGTTATAAACAGCCTCCTGGTGCTTCGGAGCTCATTAACTGTTTAATAATTGGAAACAAAGCCGCCAAAGATTGAGAAAAGATGTACAGGTTCGTAAGTGCTGGCGTAACTGCTTCGTGAATCTGGCTCCTGGTTATTTCTGTTATCCACACAACCTGTTCTCTTACAAGTTACATCTGAATTTAGCCGTTTGCAAGTATGGGCGAAAACTGACGTAATTTGAAAATAAAAAAAAAATAAAATAAATTTAGGATTGTTTTTTTCAAAACAGTAAGTTGAGGGTCCTCGGGTAAGTTAGGAAGGCAGGAAATTCTCCTAAAGTTTCAAAACGTCATGAAAAACGTTAATTGAAAGTGTACTCCCCTAACCTAACAGACCAAGCTGGAGGACCCAAACAGAAAACGGGACAGTGCATCACTTTCGTGAGCCGATTTCATTTCAAATTACGTCAGTTTTTGGCCATAGCGCGCATACGAGCGAAAAGCCACGCTATTTTTAGAGGACTGCTTGATCCCCACCTCGTAAACTCTTTAACACACACACACTACGTCGCCGTGACTTCGGAAAGATGAACAGGTTTCGTAACTGAACACGTTACGAAAGCCTGCTGTTGATTAGGCAACAGTCGCATTTTTAACGGAATGACAATCATAGAGAATGGGGACTGAGGCCCGGGATGGATTATTAACCCAATTAATAATAAAAATTAACCCAATTAATAATAATCCTTCACAGCCTAAGCCCGTTATTTCAGTCTGAATATAATGAGGCTTCAGGCTGAATGGGAAGGATATTCTCAGAATATAATATATAAAATTCGCTTACTACCTTCTGAGGACGACTCATATCAGTCCTTGTAGCCTGGTCGACGACCGGGCCGCGGGGACGCTAAGCCCCGGAAGCACTTCAAGGTAACCTCAAGGTAGCCAGCCGGAGTTCCCAACCATAGCATTTGAAAGTAATTATTCTTGAACAGATTAATTGTTCAACTTCTTGCTAATTTCCTGTGTTCGAAGCTGTCTACCAATTGGCTCGTCCATGTGGTACACAGCTTGTACGAACCTGTGTACCACTCGCTCTTTTCCTGTGTTCGAATTCTCATTCTCTCTCTCTCTCTCTCTCTCTCTCTCTCTCTCTCTCTCTCTCTCTCTCTCTCTCTGTTTAATAAATACATATATTCTCCACTAGACCCTAAACAACTCACCTAATCTGAGCCCTAACTATAATGCAAATTATAATAACATTATACTATAATGCAAATTATAATAACATTATACTATAATGCAAATTATAATAACATTATACTATAATGCAAATTATAATAACATTATACTATATGCAAATTATAATTAATAATATTATTTATATAGTTTAGAAAATAACGTTTTTGATTATGCAGTTAAAACTGACGAATGTGTCTTGGGGTCTGTTGGACGACCCTGGCCTGAGGACGGCATGGGGACCACAATTACCACCACAACTACCACCAGCAGCCACAATTACCACCACAACTACCACCAGCAGCCACAATTACCACCACAACTACCACCAGCAGCCACAATTACCACCACAACTACCACCAGCAGCCACAATTACCACCACAACTACCACCAGCAGCCACAATTACCACCACAACTACCACCAGCAGCCACAATTACCACCACAACTACCACCAGCAGCCACAATTACCACCACAACTACCACCAGCAGCCACAATTACCACCACAACTACCACCAGCAGCCACAATTACCACCACAACTACCACCAGCAGCCACAATTACCACCACAACTACCACCAGCAGCCACAATTACCACCACAACTACCACCAGCAGCCACAATTACCACCACAACTACCACCAGCAGCCACAACTACCACCACCAACCACCACAACTACCACTACCAACCACCTAACATCCCACAGCCCACAGAAAACGTAGATATCTGTAACCCGCTACTTTTCACACCACAGTACCTTGTAATTAGTACATTGGAGGACCATTACGTACAAAATGAGACCTACTAGTTGTGAGGCCGGGTTGACCACGGCCCTTCACCGTAGAGGGCACTGTGTCACGGTACTCTACGGTGCAACGACTCAGGAAGAAGCAAAATACTGGTCCAAGGTACTATTAATTACAAAATAATAACTTACTACTCGTCTAAGTAATTCCTGTAACGGGGACAGTATGGCTGTACTTGGTCACATCGAGGTCGACCACTGACCTTTCCCAGGAGGCAACCCACAACAGTTGACTAACTCCAGGCGACCTTGACATCAGGGGGGAAAGGAAACGTGCCCAAACGTTTCCGTCTGGCCTGGGATTGTGCCAATCCACTTGGTTAAATAGTCATTTTTGTAACTATTTTCACCATAGTACAAATATTGACGTATTAAGCAGTTAGATAGTAGAACTCTGTACTATTCATTTTATATAGTCCGAAAAAATTTATTTATATATTCCAAGGTTTAGTATAGTACAAATATGTACTATATTAGGCTTAGGAAAGTTAGGTTAGATTAGTTTATCTGCGCAACATAAATGCAAAATTTTTTCCGTTTTGTCTAAATTTAACAGTACAGATTTGTACTTTCCTATTGCGTTGTATGTCGGTATATATACTATGGTCCTCATCGTTACTGGGAAGTACTGCCAAAACAGGATGGACTGGCTTGAGTACTACAAGGGTGGTGGTGGTGGTGGTGGTGGTGGTGGTGGGGGCACGGGGTGGTGCTGGTGGTGGTGGTGGTGGTGGTGAGGGCACGGGGTGGTGGTAGTGGTGGTGGGGGTAGTGGTGGTGGTGGTGGTGTACAGGGCACGGGGTAGTGGTGGTGGGGGTAGTGGTGGTGGTGGTGGTGGTGGTGGTGGTGGGGGTAGTGGTGGTGGTGGTGGGGTGGTGGTGGTGGTGGTGGTGGTGGTGGTGGTGGTAGTGGTGGTGGTGGGGGTAGTGGTTGTGGGGGGTGGTGGTGGTGGTGGTGGTGGTGGGGGTAGTGGTGGTGGTGGTGGGGGTGGTGGTGGTGGTGGTGGTGGTGGTGGTGGTGGTGGTGGTGGTGGTGGTGGTGGTGGTGGTGGTGGGTGGTGGTGG